GACAGTACCAAATGAAATGTTAGTATTGAAAAACATGTTCCTTGACAAAATAAAACCAACTACAGAAATAAATGACGCAAGACTGAAACATTGGGTAAAAGCTTTCCCATTCACAAAAGATATTGTTGGTAACATGGAAAGAAAACCAGAATGGCTACAAAAACATATATTTGGAAACGAGCTTATTCCATATGGACAAGCTCTGTTTGAAGAGCTTGAACCGGAAACTCAGGAAAGAGTCATGCAAACAATACGCGAAGACTCAAATACAAACTATGACAAAATCTTTCTAGGATATAGGTTACCTGAGATGGGCGACCAGAGCCCAAAGGCAAAAAGGACATGGGAAATTTACAACATACTAGGTGAACATGAGGCAAAGATGCAACAACTTAAAGCAGAGGGCAAGTTACCAAAAGCGACACAAAAGAAGAAGAGTAGAACAAAGTGAAAGTAGTGAAGAAGTAACTTCATCTAGTGAAAGTAGTGGCAATGAAGGAAAAAGAAGAGTTAAAAACTCAGTCAGGAAGAAAGTAAAGCTTGGTACGAGTGGGTTCTATTATGATATATAAATCCAACTATTCTATATTTTTACCCATATGAAATGTACGCCGCTCAGAATATAACGCCAACAGTTTTGGATGCCATGAACGGAAATGTTTCCGAATGGTATAACGAATGCGACAATGCCATTAGAAGGTCAGAAATAGTTCCTGGAACTTACGAATATACAACTGCTGTTTCTTATGGAAACGTAGGTGAGTTTGGAGAAGGTTCTTCAACAACAGTAGATATTGCTTGCGACAGGTTTCATATTATTTCTATTGACAACTCATTCTTATACGTGGAACAAGACATTGAAATAAAACCTTCTGCCAAGTTGTCTGACAAGAAAGGTTGCAATGGAATTTTCTATGTCGGATACCAATATGCTCCAGAAGTTTTCATGGGATATAAGATATATTCTAACTCTGACTTAGTTCAAACAGTAACATGGGCAAACTATGAATGGTTCGCTTTGAGAAACTCAGTACAACCACAAGCTAGAGAACAAACAGACCAGTATGCAAATATTGAGAAAATAAGAAGACTTGACCCTAACGTTCCAGGAGTTTATGTTAACCTTTCTGGTTCAGATGGAACTGCTGCCACTAAAGTAAAACTGAAACTTAGAGTTCCTTTGTCATCTTTCCTCATCTTCAGGTTTTTAAGATACTTGCCAAACTGGGCAGGAAAAATTTCTATTGAACTTACTCCAAGCAAAAATAACTTAGTCATTGCACCAACACAAGACCCATTCAGCATTACTGTAGCTGGAACTGGTGGAGCCAAGTTCTGTGACTTTTGCAAAGACAAAGTTGACTTAGACTTTGGTTTCTCAAACTTCAACAATGAAGTAAACTATTATTTCAATGCTGCTGGAACTGCTTGGGACCCAGTTAAGTTTACATGCGAAAAATTTGAATGCAAGAGAATAGAAAGCAGACTTGCAGTCTATATGTTGGACCCAGATATTTCAAATGCTTTAGCTGCCAAATATATTGCAGTTCCACTTATGTTCCCTATACACCAAATATCTGTCAAAGACTTTGCAGGTGAAGTTGGAAACCAAAGTGCTGACCCGGGTGCAAGAACAGATATTGCTTTAACAACTGCAATGAAACATGCAGATACTATGTTTGTACTGTTCAGACGAACTATAAATGACTATTCTTGTTTCTACAACCCCGGTATTAAATATCATATAAACATAGATGGCAAATATTATCCAAGAGAAGAATATTCTACAGTTGAGGATATGAGGTCATACAACTTGACATTAGATGCTATGAACTTTAACAACAACTTCACAACAACCATTAACCCTGAAATGCAAAGTTCTATTATGCCATATGTGAAAGTATGGACTCATACAGGAGGTCAAAAAACTCAATATACAAATGGAGACCGTTCAAACTTTTGGCTTGGCATTCCATTTGCTGACTCAGAAGACTTTATGGGTGGTATTTCAACTGTTGGTACTGTACAAATACAATATACTGGTGACAGAGACGGTCCAGATGAACTGAGAGCAAAGAAGTTTACAAAACCAATAGCACTTTTCACGGAAGATGCTCTTTTGAAGATTCGTTCGATGAAACCTGCTGGGGCTCCTCAGATTGGCATAACGACAGCTTCCATCGAGCAGATTTTGGCAGCAGGTCAGTAAGTTGTTCTTGAACTGACTTCTCTCCGTCAAATATTGACAGTACGCCAGTTTTGACATAATATTGTAAGATAAACTTACCTTTAGAAATATCTGTAAGTTTTGTTGTTATATTTTTGTCAACGTCAAGAACTTTCACCATCTCGGTTATACCAACTTTCTTTGCTTTATGAAAATATTTAGGTTCAGCAAAGACTGCTATTCTATAACATTTTCCATTGTTTGTATAAAGAACTATTCTGTCAATGTATTTGTATTGTTTGTGTGTGTAAACTTTGTTCTGCTTCAATTCGAAGAGATACTCGAATACGTCCATATTTTTATTCTAAGTAAAATGTCATTTCCGAAAAATAGAAGCGTGAGTGTTTCAAAAGGTTTAATGGCGGTGGCAGATGTGAAGTTAAATTCACCAACTCAAACAAACAGTCAAAGTGTTGTTGTCAATGTCAAAGACAGAGATGTTGAAGTGGGGAAACCATACGAAGACGAAGATGGTATAGCAATTGTTCCTGTAAAAGAACAACCAACATATCCTGAAGTTAGCAGAGACTTAAGTTCTGTTGCAGATATTCGAAATGACTACCAACAACTTAAAGACAAACTTCAAACTCAGGAGAAGATTTGTCAAGCTTTAGGTATAATGTTAAACTTGGTCGAACACAACCCTGTAAAAGTGAACTCATATGTCATTGCACCTCATGAAGTTTTGAAAGAACTATTGAAACTTTTGACAGAGGCAGACGATATAAACATCAAAGAAATAGAACCCGACATTAGTTGCTGTGGTGTTTCATATAATGTCATTGACAAGATATACGTTATGAAAGGAGGTGAAACGTTGAACTTAAAGTATAGTTTCCCAGACGTCATAAAAATATTTGACGACCACAACATTTCATTAAAATTTATTTGCTAAGTAAAAATGTCAAAACTTCTTGAAAGATGTTTGAAGAAAAATAATATAGACTTTATTTCATGTAAAGGACTTTACACACTTTTGAACGATATGAAAGACCCTGTTTTGTTTGTTCGTGTAGACAAAGGAAAGTTCTATGTCTTTACAAAATATTTGAACTTCTTAGACAGAGAACTTCAAGAAACGCCATGTGAAAGTTTAGATGAAGTTCTTCTCCACTTTCAGAAAAACTTTTAAATATATATAAATGGCAGAAGATATAATGGTTTATACTATTACGACTAAAAACCCTGAGTCATATAATTCTATAACAACAAACTTACAAAGTCCTCAAGGACGATATTGTAAACTAACCTTAAACACAATGACGACTAAAGCCTGTTTTGCTCTTTTGACACCAGAAGACTTTATTGTTGTGAATGGTAAAAAATACTCCTTTGAAGATACTTACTCAGATATACCACCAACAGGTTTTGTTGACTTATTTAATACTTTAAGTACGGGTGTAACATGTGCTGCAACTAGAGCAGGTTTCATTATGTTTGGATGTCCGACTGAGTTTACTATAAACGATATGAGCTATAATACAAAACTTATTTCTGGTTTTTACTACCAACAGTTTCCTATAACAGGAAAAGGTGTCATACAAGGAATGTCTGTTCCATTGACTTTAAGTACACCAATCTTATATATTGTTTCAAACTTAGGTTCAAAGTGTTATTCGAATGTCGACAGAAACTATTATGACCAAAAGATACTTATGCGTATAAACAATACTTTCTCTGCTGGTTTGCCTATTGTTCATTCGAATGCAGAATTTTCAACCTTAGTGAACTCAAACACTTTGGCAAGTATAACGTTGACATTAGTTGACGCAAACTTTGTTCCTGTAAAACTTTTATGTCCTATGTATTTGTCAATGACGGCAGAAAGTTTCGAATTGGAAGATGCAACTGGTGAAAGTATTGTATTACAAGAACAACTTCAACAACAAATAGCTCAAGAACAACAAATGCAACAAATGCAACAACAAAGTCAAGAATAAAAAAAATATTTTTTTTTATTTTTATAAAAATGTACAGAATAGATGTTTCAGATTTTTATGACTTCCAAGCATTCAGAAATATGTGTCCATTTCGAGACTATAACAAAGCAGTCGAGAATTTGAAACGTTTAGTCATTTATGTCGACTCTGCCCCAGAATGTTATGTTATGAAAGAATGGGATGTAGTCTTTAACAAACCTAAAGCGACAATAGTTTCAGAACAAGAATGTAGACAGAAACTTAAGAAAATAAAAGTCGTACAAGTTGGCATGAAGATGTTAGATGCTTGGGATATCTTATTGTCAAAGTTAGAAGATTTTTCAGTTCGAGGTATAAAGTTCTATACACCTTCTCCAAACTTCTATTCTATCTTCACTGGATATAAATATGAACAAGTAGAATGGAAAGAAAATATTATAGAAGCTTGGTTAGACCATGTCAAAGAAATTATATGCAATGGAAACGAAAAGGTTTATGAGTATATCTTATGTTGGTTTGCAAACATCTTACAACATCCAAGTGCTAAAAATGAAACTGCTCTCATTATAATTGGAAAACAAGGAACTGGTAAGAACACATTCTTTACAGATATTTTGTGCAAACTGTTAGAGGGCTATTCGAACCCGAATATGACAAACTTAGAAAACATCTGTGGCAAGTTTAACTCCTCAATAGAGAATATGAAACTTATAGTTTGCAATGAACTTCAAAGTATAGATACAACAAAAGTTTTAAACTCAGATGCTTTGAAGAGTCTTATAACAGACAAAGTTGGAGTTGTTGAAAGAAAGTATAAAGACCAAAGAGTTTGTGAAAATGTTGCAAACTTCATTATGGTTTCAAACAATGCTGTTCCGATGAAGTTAGAAAGTTCTGACAGAAGATATGTAGTTGTCAGAACGTCAGATTCTCATATGCAAGATACAGAATATTTTGACGACTTAGCAGAAACTTTGACATCTGACTTTTACAACCACTTGTTCTCATATTTTATGACATTAGATATTTCTAAGTTCAATCCAAGACAAATTCCACATACCGAAGAGAGACAAACATTGTTAGAAGCAAACAAGAGTGTATATGAACTGTTCATAGATGAAACTGACTTTGTGTCATTAGATGAAAGGTCATTGTACGATTCGTATAAACAATATTGTCAAGAATATGGTTATATGACAGCGTCTAAACGAACATTCTTGGCAAATGTCAAAAGTCTTTTAGACGTACAGAATGGTGTATATACAAAGAAAAATTTTTATGAGTAAATTTAAAAAAAATAATTTTTTATCCGATAGAAAAGATGACAAAATTCATCTCAGTAAACAAGTACATGTCAGGACTTAAAGAAGAACTAGACCCATTCACATATTTGAATGTTTACTTCTACCATTTTGAAAAGTCTTCATTCAGCAAAGTTTGGAACATCGAACCAGTTAAGTTTGCTATTGTGACTAAAAATGGTGCGAAATTTGAAGACTTAGACATAGAAGGTTTGTTAGCAGTCAAAGAAAGTTTTGACAGAAGGTTTTCAAACCTTAAAGAAGGCAAAGCATACAAACTTGTTATACCTTATGAACCAAAGAAAGCAGACGACTATGAATATTATGAGTCTAAGATAGTTGAAGTTCAAGGTAAATTGGGTAAAAAGATTTTAGAGTCTAAGCCAGTGTTTGCTCCTAAAGAGGAAGAGAACATTGACATTGACCCAGAAATGTTCTAAAAATAAAATTTTATTTTTACATGTCAAATTTCTTTTTCTCTGGAACTGGTTCAGGTTCTTTCTTCTCTTCTACTTTCTTCTCTTCTTCTACTTTCTTCTTCTTTTCTCTCTTCTTCTTCTCTGGTGGAGTTATGTCAAATTTCTCCGAACCATATTTATGTAAAAGTTCTTTGTCCTTTAATAGCTCATCTATTCTGTTTTCTATTTCATCTTCAAGAACAGCGCATGTGTCTTCTTTGCATTCTAAGAACTTTTGTTGGACTTCATCTTTCCAATCGGCGTCATCTCTGTCAACAAGTCTGTCATTGACAAATTTTAAGACTGCTCTTTGTAATGTTTTATGGTTCTTGTCATATTCCCAGAAACAGAACTTTAGAACAAATTCACCTTTCTTGTTTACACTATGTAAGATTTTATGGTCGACAGATGTTTTGCTGTCAAAAAGTTTGTCTCGAATATAGATAGCGAAATCGCTAGACATTTTCTAAAAGATAAAAATTTTAATTTTTCTAAAAATATGTTAGAAAAAAAGTTTGCTGACATTGACAAGAAATTTGAGAATGTTTTAAATAAGAACAAGAGGAAGTTAGAAAATGCTCAGATAAAACCCATACATGACAAGTTCTTATTTGCTCAGAATGGTATAACAGGTCTAATTGCACCACCTGGGTCGGGTAAGACTTTCACTTATCTTAAAATGGCTGCACAACAACAAGAACTAGATGAGAAGAACCCATTCTATGAGTTAGTTGTTATTTGTTCGACTTCTGGTCAATTTGACCAAACCGTCAATTCGTTCAAAGATATTATAAAGAAGTCTAAGTTAGTATGTATAAAGGATACTGAGTTGTTAGATTGGATAAAGAAGTACCAAAGAAGAGTTTTGAAGTATAATGCTATAAATGAGTATATAAATTCTAAGTTTAAAGACCCAAATGAGGAAATGCAGAGAATATTAGAGAAGAAACACTTCAGAAACAAACAGAAAGAGATAGAATACATTTCGAAGAAATTGCAATCTTACGATTGGAAGACATACCCTCATAGATGTCTTCTTATCTTAGATGACTTTGCTTCTCATCCTTTGCTTAAGAATAGAGAACAAGATATGTGTCGAATTCTTAAGAAGCTCAGACACTTTAACATCTCAGTCGTAATATGTGTACAGACAGCAAAGAGTTTAAGTAAGGATGTTAAAAGAATACTGACTGACATTATACTTTTCCCCGGATTGTCCGAAGACGATTTCATGGAACTTATGAAAGAGTCCATGGCAGGTAAGTTTGACAGACATGAACTATGGGAGAAGTACAAAGTCATACAAGACCCTCATACTTCTTTCAGAATTCATATCTACGCGAACAAAGTTCAAATTGTAAAAAGTCAAGCTTGAAAAATGTAAGTGTTTAGTCTTAGTAAGTCTGTTGTGGTGCTGGGGCTGTCGGTTCTTCTGGCTTTGGAAGGCATTCAGGAAGAGGGACGTGAGACATTCGTTTGTGTCCTGTCGGAAGGAAGAACTTTTCCTGTTGTCGGGAAAAACTTTTTCTGTCGGAAGGAAAAATTTTTTCTGTTGGAAGGAAAAACTTTTCCTGAAGTTCGACCAAAAAGTTCTCAATTTTCGAAAATTTGAATGGTTTACGGACGGACAACTGGAAAATTTTTTCCTGTCGGAAGGAATTTTTTTTTCTGTCGGAAGGAAAAACTTTTTCTGTCGGAAGGAAGAACTTTTCTTGTCGGAAGGAAGGACTCGGAATGCCAGAAGGATTTGACAAGGCAATATACTTTATAGAGCTACCTGAGCCATCTGAAGTCAAGCTTGAAAAATAAATGGTTCATTTACCCTACTTGTTTGAAGTTGTCAAAATACTCTGTTATTTTTTCCTTTAACAATGGCAAATCTTCTTTGAAGGTAAGTATTGTACAACCTTTCATATCATAGTGTGTTTGAGGTAACGTATCTTGAACTATTTGTTTCACATCTTCATTTGGGGTCATTGAAATCGGTAAGTTTTCGCGATAGAACCAATTTCTGTCAGATTTGTAAATCTTAGCAAGGTCGTAAAAGCTTTTGTTGTTTCTTCTGACTAAATGCAACATAACCATATCTTTATCTTCTTCATTTTCCATCTCTTCAGTATAAATCATATACTTATAGTTCTTTTCCTTTCCTTTTGGTACCGAACGTGGTATTCTTTTCTGAATGTTTTTGTCTTTTGCTTCAATGACTTCATCTTTTGCTTGAAGTTTCTTTTCCATCTCTTCACGTTCTTGTCTATGAATTTCGTCAAGAAGTCTGTAAATATACCAAGCATAACGAGGCGAAGCCCACATTGCAACAGCATTTACAAGAAGTCTATGTACATACCAACCTCTCAAACCATTTGGCAAATTTTTACGATTTTCATGTGTTTTATGCATGGCCGAAAAAAGTCGGTCTAGAGAAATTTCACTCAAAAGTTCTTGTGTGCTTTGGTTTTTGAACCAGTCGTCTGCGTGTTTAGTATCTGGAGCAAAACATGCTGTCAAAATACTTTGCATTTGGTACATATCGTCTTTGACCGAACGAATGAGACGTAACTGTTTGTTAAACTGAACCCACTCATATTCTTCATTTATAGCTTCATGGACTATAACTGTTGTTGTGTTCTCTGTTGTTGACATATCTGTCCTTACATACAAAATAAAAAAATAAATAAAAATAAAACTAACTTTATTTTTTCTATCTTAAGGAAATTCATGATTTTCATGAGTTTTAGGCGACCCCGAAAAAAGTCTGGGTCGCAATTTTTCACGATTTTCATGAGTTTTAGGCGAGTAAGATTTTTTTACCTACTCGCTGTTCTTCATGATTTTCATGAGTTTTAGGCGACCAGGTTTTTTTCCCTACTCGCAATTTTTTACGATTTTCATGAGTTTTAGGCGACCAGGTTTTTTTCCCTACTCGCAATTTTTTACGATTTTCATGAGTTTTAGGCGAGTAAGATTTTCTATCTTAAGGAAATTCAAGAATTTTGTGCTGAATTCAGCAAAAATAATGTTTAGGTGAAGAGGTGAGATCTCACCTGTTTTCTCACCTGTTTTCTAACATGGTCTAAAACACACAAAACTCATGAAATTTGGTCATTTTTCAGCAAAAATAATGTTTAGGTGAAGAGGTGAGATCTCACCCGTTTTCTCACCTGTTTTCTCACCTCAGTTATTTTATAAGCGTTTTACATGGTAAACGTTATTTTTGGAATTTTGTGAAAACTCAACGGTTTGACACAAGCCCTAAAAATTATTTTACTCAGAATTTTATACAGAATTCAGCAAAAATATATTTTAGGTGAAGAGGTGAGATCTCACCCGTTTTCTCACCTGTTTTCTCACCTGTTATTTTATAAGCGTTTTACATGAATTGTACGATGTATATTTGAAATTCTAAACAGTTTTGTAGCTTCTATTTCTTCTGTCAGTATGTCAAAAGTTTTAACGATACCGAAAGTTTCTTTATACTTCTTCTTGACGTCAGATAGAGGGAAATCTTCTGCTGTTGGATAGTTTTTGTTCAGAAATTCTAACATGTCCATTTTATTTTCTGCTGGTTTCTCTGCTTCTTTCTTTAAGTCTGCATAGTCGTTTCTCATTCTTTCTATCTCTTTGACGGAGTAGTTATATTTCCTCATTGCTGCCTTACATTTAGAACATTGCGGGTTCATTTTTGCGTTATACATTGAAACCTTACCTGCTAGAACAACTAAGGCGTCAATGGTTTTCTTTAACGCAAAAGCTGCTGGTTTTATCTGTTCATTCCATACCTTACCTCTTCTATCTTTATCTCTTATCTGCCAAACACATTCAGCAACTAACGAAACAAAGTTGTCGTAGGTCTTAAATTCTTCAGATTTATATATGTCAGAAACATTCTTATATACCATGTCGCAATCTTTGTCCATAACCTTATGGTTGCAATGAAATCCAAGGAATTCATAATTTACCTTTCGTATGAACTTCTTTATTTCTACTGAGTCAGTTGCTTTGACTTCTATTTCATCGAATTCAGGAATAGTGAGTTTTTGTTGTTGGATTTCAGGCAATTTGGGTAAATGGTCGATGAGGTCCTGCATTTCATAAAGATACTGTTCATTTTCTTCATCTTTCGCACTACAGTCTAAATTACATGTTAAAAGTTCTTGCTTTATCTTCTGGATTTCTGTTTCAAAAGTATATGAAGAAGGAATGAAGCTTTTCATTTCTACTAACATTGACGTAGGATTCATAACTAACGAGTTTGGTGCTGTAGTTGTTTGTATTGCTGTTGTGCCGATTGTTGACATTTTATTTTTTTATACAAAATAAAAAAATAAAAAAAAATAAAACTAACTTTATTTTTTATTTCGGGAAAATTCATGAAAATTCAAGAGGTGAGAAAAGAGGTGAGAAAAGAGGTGAGATCTCACCTCTTCACCTAAACATTATTTTTGGGTCCTTTACACTCATTACGAAGAAGTCATGACAAAACATTTACGAAGAAGTTTCGACAAAACATTTTCGAAGAAGTCATGAAAATTCAAGAGGTTTTGGGTGGTTGGTACTTGAAGCAGTACAAGTATTGTTCTGAAAAAGTACAAGTATTGTTCTGAAACAGTACAAATATTGTCTTGAAACAGTACAAATATTGTTCTGAAACAGTACAAATATTGTTCTGAAACAGTACAAATATTGTTCTGAAACAGTACAAATATTGTCTTGAAACAGTACAAATATTGTTCTGAAACAGTACAAATATTGTTCTGAAACAGTACAAATATTGTTCTGAAACAGTACAAATATTGTTCTGAAACAGAAAATTTTTCTCACAAATTGAGAGCTTTTACGGGAAATTTGTTCTGAAAAAGTTCAAGTCTTGTTCTGAAAAAGTACAAGTATTGTTCTGAAACAGTACAAGTATTGTTCTGAAACAGTACAAGTATTGTTCTGAAACAGTACAAGTATTGTTCTGAAAAAGTACAAGTATTGTTCTGAAGCAGTGCAAGTATTGTTTTCATGAGTTTTCTACGATGTTTGAAAAAAGGTGAAAAAACAGGTGAGATCTCACCTCTTCACCTAAACATTATTTTTCAATACTTTTTCAGCACTTTTCCGTAGTTATATATGAAAGACAATTCGAGATAAAAGTCATAGTACAATGGAATAATATGTTGCACACCATTTGTTGTGAACCAAACTTGAAAGTCAGAGAAACTGTTACTAGGTGGTTCGTAGAATTTAGAAGCAAAGTCATAAAAGTCCTTACCAATACATAGAAAACTATTGTTGCTTGAACTGAAACTTGCATGACACATAACATTTTGAGGGTCAAACACGTTTCTATAAACCATCAAATCTGCTGGTGGAAGTATAAATTTAAATGGACCATCTGATGGTAATGGTTCGTTCTGGTTTAGTAACCGAAGAAATTGTGCCCAAGAACGTTTGTCTACTTCCCAAAATAAAAACTCTGTACCTCTTGGAGGGTTAATTTCAATCTTTTGAAATGAAACGGCGGAGTTCATCTTGTCATATTCTAGTTTCAGATAGTATGTTCCATTTAGTAAAGAGTCGTATTTTTCTTGAAATTCCCAATAATATTTGTTCATTTGAGTTTGAAAGTCATTTAGAGTTTTCTCAAGACTTTCGTCTGAACGAACTGTAAAGATTCTCATTTCGTCAAATTTGTCTATTAGACCATCAGAACCTTTATACTGCCCATGAAAATATACTGCGAACATAAATGCGTTAGTTCTTTTTGAAAACAAAACTCTTCTAAATCCTATTGCCTTTGCATCTGAAGGACTTTGAAGCCAACGAATTGGATAGTCAAACCTGTATGTTCGGGATGAAATTTCTTCATCTGAAATAGTCCTACCAGCATTTGTAAAGATATAGTCTAACGGTTTTGTATCTGCTACTTTTGTTCTTTGTTTTTCAACCTGAAGCATTTAATATATGTAAAAATATATTGTTTTAAAATGGTATGCCATTTCATATTTCTCATCTAACAAACAAGTTTCCCAACGGTCTTCTCCAACAAACTCAGCGTACATTTCAAATAAAAATTTTTTACTTCATGCAATGTTTTATTTCTGTGCCGTCTTCAAGTATGCCCCAGTACTTACGCTTGGAGAGGACATGAACTTCAGAAAATACCTTATCTAGCTTAAAACAGCCCATCTTTTCACCGACCATTCCCATTTCAATGAGTTTGTTATAGCCTTCTTCGTTCGTCATGAGTGCGTCAATGTTCTCATAGTAAACCTTCACTTTGGATTTGACTTCGGAGAAAAATTGTTGTAGTTGTCAAGGACTGCTTTTGCGAACTGAGGTAAGACCAATGTTCGACAATAGGTTTTAATGTGGTTACTAAGCCACTTTGACCTTGAGTGAATTCGTACTTCAAAACAAAAGAGAGAAAACCTTTCAACAAAGTTGTCGACCTTCTCATAATGTTTACTCTTCATCTCTTGAGGTTTCTTAATGGAATATCCCCATGTCGAATTCATAAGCAATTTGAGTGTCATTGCAAGTTTGGGTTTGAAGCTTTCCTAATATCATACAGTTGTTGTATGACTTTTCCAACTGTATAGTTCCTTCCCGGAACTCACCATCTTCGTTTGGAATTCCAGTCGGAATATATTGGACAAACCTCATGTATGCAGCGTTAAGGTCGACATAGTATATCTTTTCATCTGAGTCGAACTTGTCGCAACCAATTGGTCCAGTTTGTGGAAATTCAAGTGAGTCTCTTATCTTCTGAGAAACTTCTCCTGTTATCTCATAAACATCGTCGAAGCAACCTGTTTCATATAAAACCTTCTGACCTAACTCAGATGCTCTCCAATACAATTTGACGTCAATTGGATGTCTCAATGGAAGTTTGTTATTAGCATCTTGAAGTTCTTGCAACCTCATTGGAAGTTCTTCTGGTTCAGGTTGGTATCCGAACAATCCAACTCCTTTTGGAATTGTGTACTTCTTTTGTACTAGAACTTTGTCTGGAACAACTTTTGGTCTTGCTAACAGTGAAAAGTTTGTTTCGTCTTTTGGTACAAAAGTTTCTGTCAGCTTGTCATCTGGAATTGGTTCCAACAAACCTTTCTCAAAAAGAATGTTTACAGCTCTGACAATTTGCACTTGCCTTTCCGAACAATGGGTTTGTAAGACTTTCGTTCAACATGAAGTGGTTGTGGACAATTGCAATCTTCAACCATGGTAAATTGAACTCAACAACATAGTCGTCATGTGAAGAACCTTTAGCTGTAGGTATGTTGACTCGGATATTGACATTTGCCAACGGTGCAATTTTTGCCAATGACCTCTGAGAATGTACCTTGTCTTCAACATGACTCAAGATACTTCATCTTCTCTTCTGAAACAAGACCAGAGTTCCTGAGACATGTAAGAATGCAAGGTTCGTTGACAATTGTTTCAATTGAATTGTAAATTCCATACCTTGTCAAGTCAATGTCAGACTTATTTATGAACGGAAAGTATCCAGCATGTTGTCTGACTGCTTGAGGGTTAGGTTGGTACCATTCGAACTTGACACTTGCAATTCCTTCAATTGCATTCAAAATGTCTGAGTCGGAGTCAACCATTGTTCTCTCTTTGTAGTCTTGAAAGCGTCAAGAAGTTTTGCAGCTGTTGTGACATTGCCATTTGCATAGTAAATGTGACCATCCAAATCCGTTATGGTCAATCTGAGATTGTGTCCTTTCTTATTTCCGTCTTGAATTGCAGCAAGTACACCCATGAAGCCTTCTTTGTTCTTTCCTTCGTCAAAGTTTACTGTAAAGGTTCGACCAGATGTAATTTGACTTCTAACTTCACGGTACTTTTCATATGCATATCTTGTTCTTTCCATGGGAGCATGACCATCCTCTGCACTACCTTTTTTCCTTCTCAAAGGATGCAATTGTTCGTCATGTTTCCAGTAGAATCTGGCAAAGCCGTCGTGTCCTTCAACTTGAGGTTCACTAACATCGAAAGGCATGTCCATAAGACGTTCTTCTTCTAACCTCTCTAGTCTGTTTGGATAATTTGCACGTGCTGTTTCCAAATCCATTTCGTAGGTCAGACCAGCCAGTTTGTCATAGACTTTTATGGGTCTTCCCTTCCTATATTTAAACTTCTTCGAAACTCTCCAACCATATCTTTGCAACTCTGCTTTTATTCTAGCAGATTTTCTATCCATTCTATATGGGGGCATTTTTATAAAAAGAAAAAAAATATATTTTTCTTTACTTAACATAACCGCCTGCTGCCATAAGTCTTTGACGCCAACCCATACCAGCTAATGAAGGTTGACTTGGTTTAGTTTCCAAACTAAACTTTGGTTTTGGTTTATCTTCAGTTTTTGGTTTTTCTTCTTCTATCGGTTTTTCGTCACTTTTCGGTTCCTCTGACTTTACTTCACTTGCAGGAACAGTTGTGTTGTCAACATCTTCATAAATATCATATGCCATTTGTTTTTGTTTTCCTTTCAACTTTTTGTGTTTGTTGTAAAGTTTAGAATATTTCGACTCTAAGTCAATGAGATGTTCTATAATGAACTGTTGGTCAGTGAAGTAAACTTTTCCATCTGTTGTCTCGAAAGCTCCTTCAGACTTCAATATTTTATTTGTGAGAGTCTGTTTCTTTTTTGAGATACTAGCCGTTCCATTTCTATGAAAAGTGACTTTGTAGTTAGGGTTTGTATTTCCAGACCTGGCACTTTCTATTATTGAATTTTTCTCTTCATCTGTAAGTTCTTTGACAGGTTTTGACAATGGTTCTGAACTTTTTGTTTGTGGTGTCAAATCTACCGTTTCAACTTCTTCGGTCATTTCATCTCAGTAAAAAATTTTAGTTTGGTTTGTTTTCAACTGGTTGTTGTTGTTTTTTAAGTCGGTCTAAAACTTCCTGAGGTATAGGAAGAACTTGACAAACACGTTGTGTAACTGCTGGAAGTCGACAAATCCATCTTGAACCCATTTGTCTCAATGCTGTATTGTTCATTTCATCTCAGTAAAAAACTTTACATTCCCCACGTTTGAGGCGGTTGAGGTTGGTTATTGTTTACCCATTGTTGTGCATGGTTATATCCTCTGTTAAAGAATCTTTCACCTTGGTCCATATAGTGTCCTGCTTGGTTATAGTAGTCATTTGCTTTGTTATAATAGTTTCCTGCTTGTCTTCCTACATTGTCCATCCATCCTTGAAACTTTTCCTCTTGTTTCAGGATTTGGAATAAGATTTGTTGCATCTCGTGCTACATCCCAACCTTTCTGTACAGTTTGTATAATAGGTTGTGCTTTCTCTTTAAGTATACCTAATGTACTCAAAATCTTCCTTCCAACTCCAAATACACCTCTGGCTATTGTTCCCACTGCGGGCAAAAATCTGGATGCAACTCCTGCTAATGCGCCAAATAAACCCATTTCTTATGGGTTAAAAAATGACGAATCCGAACAAGGACCCCTATGTTTCTAAAGCGACAAAGAAAGCACTCATGATAAAAATCTTTAGTTCAACACCAAATGCTTGGTTTATGGATATCTTGGAAAACATTCCGAGAGTTAGAACAGATGGACCACCATACTGGCTAATATTTGTCGGTCAAAACACAAGATACTGTGAAGCCATACCATTATGGTCCAAAAATATTTTAGATGTGAAAACTGCTTTGACAATATTCGTTGACAAATACCATCCAACAAAACTGACATCTGACTGTGAAAGTTCTTTCAAATCAGATGATGTAAAAAACTATCTGCGTTCAAAAAATGTAAACCAATATTTCATTGTCGACCAAAACCATTCTGCTCTTGGTGTCATTGACGGTTGTATAAAAATGTTAAGAGACTTAAACCAACCACAAGGTGGTGAAGCAAATGAAATGTCATATGACGACAAATATAGACACTTCTCCATGGCAAAGATGAGACAAGTTTTAAATATTTACAATAGCCGTAAACAAAAAGGTTTGGGAAACCACTCCCCCGAAGAAATGAAAAACAACCCTGACTTAGAGAAAGACTATATATTTAATAATTTAGTCAAAAGAGACAAACAAGAAAGAATGCCGGGCTTCAAACTTCAGAAAGGTGACAAAGTAAAAATAGAAATACCTAAACGCGACCCATATGAAAATACTATTGACTATGACAACAATGGGAACCCGACAGGTACTCACATTCGTGTTCGTAAAAATAGAAGAAAGTATACAAGAGAATATTATGAAGTTTTAGGCAAACATGGCAAAATGTACAGACTGCAAGCAGAAGATAAAACGACTATTGTCAGACCTCGTTTCAAACTTGTCAAAGTTCAAGGTGGTATACTTTCAAAAACAGTTCCTAACAAATATAAGACAACTCCTGACGAATATGCTAAAGAAGTTGAAAATGACGACTAAGCATTTCTACACCATGCGTAAACTGTCATGTAAGGTGGCATGTAGTCTTTACTTTGTCCCGTTGTTTGCGTATATCCTGAAACGCGATGTGTATGGTTTCCATCTCCCTGAGTGTTACCCCAAAACAATTTATAGCAAACTGAACGTTGTCTTTAACATCATATCCTTTACCTTTTGTCATTGCCGACCAATCCCAAAATTTATGCTTATGCCAACCTGCTTGAGATGTACTTAAATCTATGTAGTGACTATGTGCAGGTAAATTTTCACCTGAAATCGTTTTACTTCCACCTGTTTCCTTTGAAGAGTTTGCACAATACAAAAACCTGTCGACTATTTGAGTCCAAGTTCCAAAACCCAGAACTGTTTCTGGTCTGGTAGAGTTCATTGACGTATAAATAGAGCCTATAGGATATAATGTTTGAAGCATTTCTGTCTTTAATGTTTGAAGCTCTGTTTTGTCTGCTTTCTTGTCATATAAATCTTGAGCAGTGAATTTAATATTATGTTCATCCTTCATGACATAAACATCTTTACATCTAATGTTTCTCATCGTCGTTATGTCGTCATCCGATGTTAAACCTTGTGGAAAGTTAGGAGGTTTACAATATAATACATCCCCACCAGTTTCTTCAACCGTTCCTTCAATACTTTCTATAGCAACAGTTGTAAAACTTGTATGTGTATGAGTCTTATTTGCTTTCTTTTCAAGGCTAACGTTTAAGTCTGTTATTTCAGAAGATGTATGTGTATGTCCAACGTCACTTTTCCTGTTTAAGGTTTCTTGTAAGTTTGTAATATTTGCAATGGTATGTGTATGTCCAACGGCACTTTTCCTGTTTAAGGTTTCTTGTAAGTCTGTTATTTCAGATATAGAATGTATATGAGTCTTTTTAGAATATTCGTTTTCAGCTCTTGTCACTTCACTTGACATTTTATGTCAACATATGTTTTGTCTGCTAGTTCAGGATGAGTATGTTCTTTTGTTGCATAAGCATTGTTAGCTCTTTCTTCTTCTTTTGCTATTGCATCGTCTACATATTCTTTGTCAGCTTTGTTGTCAACATCTGCTTTCAAAAGAAGTTCATTTATAGGTTTCTCGTTTAAAGTTCCTTTTGTTGGATTTATACAGACAGTATGGTTCTTATTGTCTTGAAACAGAAACTCATCTGTCATTGGGTTTAATGTCAGTTTTAAGTTTCCTTCTTTCAATGACTCAGATATCTTAGAATAGTTTGAAAAGTTTGTTGTGTTCTTATTTAGAGCTTGCATAATGAGTTGTCGGTTGTTTGTATTTCTCTCATGAAGCAATATCTTTCGACATTTTTATTCTAGATAAAATATGCTTCCAATAGAAAAAGAAAATTCAAGAGTTGCTACAACTAAACCATTAGATGAACTTTTTACTAATGTCGGTCAAAAGTTTGAGACAGAGACCGTAAAGCATGAAGGCTATCGTTTTGACTACCCATTAAGATGGCTAAGAGACCCATCCGTCACAAAAGCTATTGGCTTTCGTAGAATGAAGTTCATTTCAGAAGCCATACATGGTTTCCCATTTACGGTCGGTTTTGAAGTTCGATACTATAACAAAGAAAAACGTATGTATGAGAAATTTGAACAGGGAAACTTTTACAAGTTAGTTTGCTTGTAAACTTAGAAACAACTCTTCAAGCTTTTCAAGAAAAAATAAACGATATCTATATCGAATATGCAAAACAGTATAACATTGACGAAGGAAATACCATCTCGATATTATTTATGACAGGAAAAATGCAACTGTTAAAATCAATAGAATAGAAGACCTTGGAGAAAACGTTTATATTTCTACAAAATATAACAACTTGGCATGGTATAGATTTATGAGGATGTTAAATCAGCCTGCAGCATATCCAGTACACCCAGACTTTTATGAAGTCGAAAACCCTAATGGAACATATGAAAATGTTTTCGACCAAGATGCTATTATTGTTCATGCTTCATTTTCTGGCGCCCAAAACTCTTTCTTATGCTTGGCAAATGACTTTTACGAAAAAACCTACAAAGTTATACGAACCACCAAGTGGAAGTATTTCAGACTTTCAAGTATGGTTTACTACAGATGGAAGAAAAAGAATAATTCCATTATACCATGCGTTTTACTTAGAACTTAGTTTCATATACAACTACTATCGAACGGTAAAAATATAATTTTTTAATACGGTTGAGGTGTTGGATTGGTTGCCAACTAGACTGTGGTGCAGGTTCAGGCTGTTGTATAACAGGAGCTTGTTCTTCTGGTTCAGGGTCTTTAGGTATAATACCAACAAACTGACCTACTCTTTTACCAATATTTTTGACTCCGTTCCAAATTCCTCTTCCTACGGTTTTTATTCCATTCCATATACCTCTTCCAACTCTTCTGAAGAAGTTTCCAATACTACTGAAGAAACCCATTTACTATATGTAAAAATCTAATGTCCGCCTAGTCTCTTACGTTTCCTGTTGAGTTCCATAGCATTCTTTAACTGGAGCTCATACATTCTGTTTCTCCTCTGGTAGAAAACATATTCTGGGTCAACTCCTGTGTTCGCGTCATCTGCATAAAGTTGTTTATATCCCACTTCAGGGTTTGTATAAAACTCTTTCCATCTCATATTTGCATACCATGGTGGCAAACCTAACGCAGCGTCATTTGACATGGCAGTTTGCATTTGTACATCTGTTGGCACTTGACCATAGTTTGCCATTGCAGTTTGTATTCTAACTTCATTTGGAATATTCTCTGGGTTTGGTTGTCCAGGTTGCTGTGCATTCGCTAAGTTCTGTGCGTCCATTTAATATTAGATAAAAATATCTCTTACGAGTACATATACTGAACATTTGCAGGCATTGGTTCATCTTCATATTCTCTATATCTTTCTGCCACGTCAAAGAATAAATGACACAATGGAAAAAACCTAAAACAAGTAGTCCTATTTCAAACCACATTTACTTACTAATAAAATTTCTTTGTTATGACACTTTCTCCGGTTTATAGGACCTCTCCATATTCTATCTTGTCATATATAAACTCATAGTCATGTATGTCCTCTAACCATCCCATAACGGTTTCCAAACCACTTTTATCGGATGTAAAGTAAAAGCATGGACAGTTATGTAAAACGTCTAAAGTTTCTAAAGAGTCTCTCAAAGTCCAGTCTACTTGGTATTGAAAATCCCATGTGTTATAGAACGGCGGGTCCACTATAAAGAAAACATTTTCCTTGTCTTTATATTTTTCATACAAATCTGTCCAATGACATCTCACAAACTCTATACCCTCAATATATTTTTCTATGTCCTCTTTGAAAACATTTGTATAGTTAAGATATAAAACTTTTGACATAAGTGTTTCAATGTCATGAACTCTTATAGAACCACTATATAATAGTCTAGCAGATATACTATCCAGTCTATATATTCTGCTTTTTTCAAAACCTCTCTCACAATATTTTTCTTATCTAATGGTATACGTTCCATCTTACCTATAGGTATCTTTTCTTTTAACTCTTTCAATATATTGTTTGTGTCTGGAATATGTTTGAGACGGTCCATATAGTTGTCGAAGTCATTGCATATAATCTTTGAGTCAGGAAATATTGTATGGCACAAATGGGATATATAGAAACTTCCACCGAACAAATCTACAAATGTTAGACCATTCGGTAGTTTCTTAAGTTCTCTCAATATAATATCTTTACATCTACTCTTATTTCCAAAGAACGGTAACGGTGGTTTTGTAAAATTCATTTATATATAATAATAAAAATGTTTTTACCCGAAAAGTGACAGAAAAGTGACAAAACATGAAAACATATATAATTTGTGAAAAGCGACACATTATATAATGTTTTCGACCCAGAAGAAGGCTTCTCAAAGTATACTTCCTTGGAACGCCTGTAACTTTTCCTGTAGCGACGATAGACCCTTACTTGTCCGGACAAAGTTATACTAAACATCTTCAGGGCTAGAGGGCACGAAGTGCCTGGAGGCCCCACTACCTTTTTTTTTTTTTTTTTTTTTTTTTTTAAGTGCAGTCTTAAGTCTTGACATTTCCTTCATAGTATGTCGTTTCATGATTTTTCTTCCTTTTCTTGAAGGTTTTTTTACCACTCCCTGACACCCTTTCTTTTTTTTGATCCCCAAGCTTTAATTTCCAATGTAATTAAGTATGTAACTAATCTTTCGCACATTCTTGACACTTGAGATGTCTTTATTTTTCATAGTGATCAATTAGTTTCCAAATATCTTATTTGACACAACAATGAGATAATTCTATGATTAAATAAAACAACCAATGAATCGAGAAAGTAAATAAATTTATATACAAACAAAAAATATACAAAATTAGAAGTCACCAATATCATCAAACACATCACTAATAGTATTATCATAGTTTCCTGATTTCTTTGCATCATAATGATAGGCCTGTTGATTATTGTTGTTAGCTTTTGCTTTAGTTTCTGTTTTTCTTGGCAATATTTGCTCTGGAGGGGACCAATCGTCATCTGAATCCGAAAACTTCAGAATTGAGCTGTAGTGACTATCAGGACGTTTCCTACTAGTATATGGCTCCGGTTTTTGATAAACGTTTTTAGGTTGATAAATTTCTTGTTTTGGCTTTACAGAAGATGGTGACTTTTTCTGCTGTAAATTAGATTTAATAATACCTATTTGTTGCTTTGGAGGCGATTTATCTGGAAAAACCATTCTGAGTTCGGGAGGATTTTGAAGTGGAGGAGGACGAGGTAAGTCTTTTTGCTCTGTTTTAGAATAATAGCTTGAATGAGCAGATTCCTTAAATAGTTCTGAGTATCTTTTCATTATTCCTTCTGATAATCGATCTCTATTATCATAAAAAGGAGTACTTACATCTTTGAGCCATTCAGCCATTAAAGATTTGATAGGTGCATCAGTTTGAGGCAGTCTCAATTCTGAAAAACTCGTTGCCCTACTATCAAAATCAAAGATTTCTGAATTACTTGACTCAGAACTAATACATCGAGCAGTATTGGTGAATTCGAAGGATATTAAATAATGCATTACTAGTTCTGCTGCAATTTTATTGACTTTATCTTTTTTGAAAAATTTATAGGGTTTGAGAAATCCAATTGAAGATTTCTGACCTTCAATAGCAACTTCAGAGATATATAGTGAATTTAGTTTATTCATTGAACCATTTTGGATCATTGCATTGGCTATTTTTTCATCCATAATGGTTCCTGAATGAAAAGTGAACGTTTAATTTTTCATTTTTAAAAAACATTAAAAAATATGAAAGATAATAACAGATACATATAACATATAAGTTTTTAAAATTAAAATAGAATAATGAAAGGAAAATTCATGAAAGAGATGATGATTACAGTCAACAGAGTACATCAACTCAATGACAACAACTTCCAAATAATAATTGAACAATCGCAACTGAAAATAGCTATAATCTATATTCAATTTATTTTTAATTGGAACACATACGCGAATGCAATACAATTAACCAAATGTACAAGAGACGATACTTATGATTTTAGTCTTCATGTAAGAGTTAATGATGATGTTTTGGCATTTTTTTTTCTATGATTATTTCAAGCTTGTAGAAAGCAACAACTGATATCATATAAGCAATCGATTATATTCTCTTATTAAAATTGTTATTTTTATGACATAATTTAAATTTTATTGAAGCAAAAAAGCGGATAAAGATTTTTCCAATTTATTTTATTTAGTTAGATAAATCATCATCGTATGTTTATCAAATGTCGTAAAAATTTTATAGCGAAACAACTGGTGATTCATAGAGTTGGGATCATGATTATTATATATGACCCAAAAGTAATTTTATCGATTTACAATAAATAACGGGTTTTGAGATCTGATCTCAAACTTATAAAGATAGGATCACAAAAAATAAACATTTGAGAATGATATTTAAACCGTGATTCGAATCTTTTGTAATATGGTTCGGAATAGTATTTCCATTCATCGATTACTCGATCTCAAAAAAATTTTGGTAATCTCCCCAATCAGATTTTTTGATGTAAACATTACATAAATCAATATTATCATTAATAAATTTTTGAAGTATAAATAATTTAAACGTTATTAGATTAAATCCTTTTTGAAAATGGCTTTAAATTGTATTCTACGCCATTATTAAAACTTAATAATTTTGTGAAAAATTAGATCTTTTCGGTTTTATTCAAAATGAAAAAAATCGAAAACTTCCTCTTTCGAAGTTAAAATCATAAATGCAACCTGACATATACCACGATTTGTTTTATTAGATAAACAATAATTAGCCTGATTTTTCATAACTCAATTCAAAAATTTCTGATCAACGTAGATTTTTTTTGAAGACCCATCAAATTTTTAAGACTATTTTTTTCTTCATTCTAATATAATGCAACTCCAGCATTCATGCGCCATGAACACATTAGTTGATGAAGAGTCAAACAACTTACCAATGTCTCTTTCCAGACAGCTCCAAACAACAAACTTCTTTTCTCCAAAGACATTCAACAACAAGCTTGCCTTCGAGCTTGATGACCAAGATGATGTTTTCATTGGTCTTTATGAGTCCAAGAGCATAGGAAACTCCATTCGTTTTAAGAACCCATTCTTGAATCGCAATGAGTCCCTCTACAAAGTTAAGGTCTTCTTCATGTTTAATGTCCAAACAAATAACCTCCCATTGATTCAACATTCCTTCCCGATCACAGCCGATTTGAGCCAGCTCTACAACTTTGTCGCTAACTCGGACTTTGTTTTGAATAGAGAACCCCATAATAGAGAATTCAATATCTCTTTCAATCCATCATGGGAGTCGGAATGTCTTCCGACTACAGGCAAATTGGAGAAATTCCATAATTTGCTTACCCACTATCTTACTTTATATGTTAATTTCCATTAAAACTGTTTGTATTTTATGCTTATTTAATATACATTTAATTTATTGTCCATGTTTACAACTTTTTGAGATTGTTCAAGATTATTTTATCTTTCTTTTTATTTTTATGCTCCTATAATCATTCAGACCAATATTGAGATTCTGCGACATCTATCTTTAGAGGCATCCGCTTAGACAGATTCAAGATCGTTAAGGGTCCACTGTAAAAATCGAAAGTCTCTCAAAATTGAGAGGCGATTTGCAAATAATCGTTATCGTCATTTTTCGAAAATCCACTTTTCCTAGTGTTCTGATTAATATTATGTGAATACAACAATGAAGCATATGTTTCAATAAGATGGTAATATATTCTATCACTTCAAATCTCATAAAAATTGCAAAATCAGTGAGTTTTATAAGAACATGATTTTTTCGAATTTTTTCGCTTTTGGATGCGTGTTTTGAAAAATAGATATTTTCGAATTTTAATTTTATCTTAAGTATAAGTTTTATATTAGGAATTTTTTTGACCTATTTCCAATCATTAAGGGTGCACACGAGAGGATCATGTAAACTTCAGAATTTAGAACCTTATTTTTAGGCATTATCTTGGCTACCTATTTAGGCTCGAAAAGCAAAAAATATCAAAAAATACAAGTTGACTCCATTATGACCCTTTCATGGAGGTAGTTTTTATCCGCTAGTATTTTCCCTTTGAATCTCTTTACAATTCGAAATCAAATTCAAAACTCAGTAGAAGAAAGGAAGAATCGACTTACTACGGTTGTAATACGAATAAATACATATATTTAATTATTTTTATTTACATAATAATTGTTTGAAGCTCATATTCCATCAAATTTTTAAATAAAAACATTAAAATGTTGAAAATGTTCATATATTTTAATAGGGTTTTGGCACTTTATTGAGGAATTACTACATACATAGTCGAACTGAACTTGATATTTTGAAATTTAAATTATTTATCAAAATTAAAATTTAACTTGAAATTTATAATTATTTAGTCATATTTTGCATAATTCTAAGTAGATTTTGTAAAAAATCAAGAAAGAAAAATTTTAACGTGCTTTATTTTTTCTTTTTTATAATAATACATATTATTATATAATTAACATATTCATAATGTTTCACCCTTTCAAAAATATAATCCTCCTCCTCTCAAATAAACGTACATACGGGTGGCCTCTTTTTTCAAAAAATTAAAATTTGAAATTTTGGGCTCAAATATTAGAGATTTTTTCAACCTTCAACGATATATGTTGTCTATATCAGACCTCCTTTCTTTTTGATACTTAACATTGTTCCTAAATCTTAGCCGTTAAGGCTGTTCTGAAAATATTTTTTTTCAAAAAAATTCGAAAAAAATTCTTAAAATTCAAAAATCCCTTAATTCCTGAGGATTTTGGGAAAAAGTTTTTACATGAACATGTGTATATTATATGAAGTATATTGATAAGGTAAAAATCAAATTTTATTGCATATTCATCGAGAAAATAAACTAACGAATCCCTCAAAATTGAGAGGGTAATCCTCCTCCTCTCAAATAAACGTACATACGGGTGCACCCTTAATTCCAATGTTTTTCAAGGAATTTAATTGAGAAGAAATTAGGAATTTCGCTTTAATGCCATTACATCCTAATATTATGATGCATAATATATATATTTATTGAGGCTAATGCCGGGATATCTTGCATTTAAAAAAAATTCAAAGAATTGACAATTGGATAGCACAAATTTAATTTCCTGGACAAAGTTTTATTGTTTATATATTCAAACCATTATCCTTAGTTTAGATATGTTGGCCAAAAATTTTCGTGTTATTTTTTGTGTTTAAGCATAAATTATGTATTTACTTATGAAAAATAAGCATTTTATTCATTATCATAAAGATATACCATAACAATTGATAAAATTTTTTTTTAAAAAATTGTGTATTTTAGTGGGTATTATTCTGGATAATGCCAATTTTTACAAGATTTAATATTAACCATATCAATAGCCGACTCAATGTAAAAATTTAGATATTATTTTTTCATTAATCAAACTTTGATAAATTTTAGTATAATGAACGATTTTGTTTCGTGTATGATACAGAAATGAAAAGCTTAATTAATATCATTTTGCATTTTTTAAAGGATGTTAGAGTACATCTACATTAAAAAATCAGATTTGAACTGCGATACTGCATCAAATTGTTGCACATCTGATAAGGATCTCAAAAGAGTAAAGTTAATTTTTTTGTGTTTTTTTAAGTTTTGGGTCTTAGTAAAACACCATCTCGAGCAATATTTTTGGGACGACGATAGACCTTATTTGGCCTTACAGTGGACCCTTAATAAATTAAAATAATATTGTTTATCAGCTTGCATAATAATTTCAATTTGCTTTAACTGCATATTTGCATTTCAAAATAAGAGGAATCGCTATTGAAAATGAAAATATGTAAAAATAGAAATTTAAACTTCATATTTTTACTAAACAACTTCAACACATAATCAGTTATGAACACGCCCTATTATACTAACTTCATCTTCATCTTTATCTTCCAATTCTTCCAAACTAATCTCATACATTCGAATTGGATCTCGAACATATTTGCCAAAGAATTCAATTTTATTCAAGCCCATGCAGGGAGGATCTCCTGGGCAATTTTCATCTTGAATCATTCTGATGTATTTTGTTACGTAGGTTTCAGAAAATTTATATATTTTCTCTTTGCAATAGACCAGTTCATTGTCTTTCTTTACTTGGTGTATAGTTTTCCATTTTCTTTTATTATCAGAAATTTGGAGGGACCAGCTGTAAATACAACATTCGCAGCAGTGAAAACCCTTATAACGACAGCAACAACCTTTATCAGCGCAACAGCCAGCCCTTATCATATATCCATTAAAATGAATAAATTTGTCTTTGATAGAAAAAACAATGTAAGGATGCTCATCTGGATATTGCCCACAATCAGAGCACCAATCATAGTTCTTGTCTATTTGATCAAATGCAAATTCAGGTTTTGTTGGCTGAATCGTGTCATTAATTGATTGAGAACCAGTACCACTTACATAATATTCGATTTCGTTATTCATATATGCATTTTTGAGAATATAATTAGATTCTAGAGGGACTTTTTCGGATAAAAACAATAAGAGCATTTTTGTAAGATTTTTTTTATGGAAGAACTCAGCTGGATAATTCTGATCGTATTCCTGAGATAAGGCAATAAATGGTGCGAAGTATTCATAATAAAAGGTAGGGAATTTACAGAATATCAAAAGAATATTGAAGTATATATGAAATTTTGATATAAATAAAAAGATTTAAGTAAAACTAAATCATTTAATTCAACAATGAGTTAAACTACAAATAACAAACAATTAGCCCAATCGTTCGTTTTGGATTTCTGTATTCGTTGAGATGATTGGGAATGAATTAGATCCGAAGGACCAATCAAAGGGTCTTGGATTAAAAGGGGCTTTGGGGCGATTTATTTCGGAATGAATTTTATAAGGATGACATTTTAAGCAGCCATATGGATGCAGTTCTTTGGCATTAATTTCATGCATATATTTCTCTGATTTTGTATGAGTGGTTAAGCCACTACAAGGGGATCGGAGTTATCAGGGGAGTTAATAATACTTGACATAAATTAATGATTTACGATTGAATGCTCTTTGAAATTTTGATTTATGATGAAATCAAATTTTACGTAAAAGTTTAGTTAATTATTTTGAAATAGAAATGGGTAGGAAATATTCGTAAACTTATCAAAACTGTCAAATTCGAAACAATTTTGAGAAGATATAATATAAAATTGCAAAAATAGTTTAGTAGTCAAACATAATTATTTTTAATTAACATTTTATTATGATGAAGATGAATTGTATACAATTTCAATTTTTTGAATACTTAAAAAAAGAAGATAAGAATGATTATATTATTATATCACAAATAAATAACTTAATTGTAAAATCAAATTGAAAATAACTCAAATTTATTCAATTGATATCCATTGATTTAGAATTTCTTGAATAGCCAAAGTATATATTAAAATCTGTTCAACATTTTATGAATTCAATTGATCATTCAAAATTTATCGTTATTTGAAATTTTTTCATTTGATTTTAAAATTGTTTCGATTTTCAATACCTTCGAACCTGATGCAGTACATTTTAAAATTACGATCAAAGTAACCAGGATGGCTTCATATTCTTCGAATTGTTGTCTATAATTCTTAATAATCATTTTTTATATTATTTTTCAAAAATAGGCTCTCTGATTAAAATTTTTAACCACAACAAATTATCGATATTACATTTGAGATAATTAAGTTTTTATATTAAAAAAAAAATATTATTCATATATATTCCTTCACTAAAAACGATATTATTTACAATTTTTATTCTTCATTGGGAGTTGGTTATACTGAGTATATTTTTTTTCCTTTTAATAAAAATTCGTTCGAAACAACAAAAACCATCATATATTCCCAGTCTATTGATTACTACTAATATCTTGTCTTTAAGTTTTTATTAAAAATTTTTATATAGTTATTTCAAACTTCTAGTCAAAACCGACCTCAAGAATTACAGACACAATAACCGACCATTTATTACCTGCACCTCTAACTAATTTCTAATTTAATTTATTGAAAATGTTTATTTTGTCGATTTTATTGATTCCAAATATGGCATTTGAGTTTTCTATGCAGTATTAATATCAGTTCCGCTAAAACATGATGATTACGTCAACTCAACTGTAACATTTTACCGAGTTGATTCAAATTTGCATATTTTCCTGATTCGCATACTCTTATGTGAATGTTGACTTTATTTTTAGCATAAATATTGATTCATCTCATAATGGGTTGCTACAAAATAAAGTATTCAATTTAGCAACTTTTGCCAATACAGAATCAATAAACAATTCAATATTATTCAATTGAAAAATCTTATGGAAAGTTAAAGATAATTTACAACATTTAAATATTTGCATCACTTAAAAATATAAATATTTACAATTTCGATATAATTATTCAAAAGTATTCCTTCAAAATTACGTTGACAAAAATGACCCTTCTTAACATGCAGCTAAATTTCTTTCTTTTGCATAAAAAAATTATTTATATTGAGAATTCAAATTTCATTTAAAACGCATTTATTTCTTATGTGTTACAAATATCATCACCATAGATTTCTTTTCAATTTTTTTGGCGGTTTTGGTGATCAAAATTTGAGATGCTATCCCGAAGCATATTGGATGCCTATTTACCACTTTTACTCCCATCAAACGAAATATCTCATCTTGGACATGGATCCCTTGCAATTCCTAAGTTAAAACGTGAAGATTTAGTTACTTTATTGACATCAATGAAAACCGTTTTTGAAAAAGAAGAGACTCTCTTAAATATTTGGGGTGATTTCAATGTAGTAGGTGACATTCATGGAAATTTGAAAGATCTTATCAGGATCTTCTGCTTCGCAGGATCTCCGTATCAAAACAATTATATATTCCTCGGTGATTACGTCGATCGTGGCGAAATGTCAATTGAGTGCATTGTGTTATTGTTTGCTTACAAACTTGCATATCCAAACAAAATCTATTTACTCCGCGGTAACCATGAGTTCGAACTAATTAATTCTTATTATGGTTTCAAACAACAAGTACTTTCCGAATATGATGAAGAAATATACAATATGTTTAACGAGGTTTTTTCATATCTTCCTCTTGCAGCTGTTTTAAACCAGAAATACTTCCTCGTTCATGGAGGTATTAGCCCAAGTTTAAACACGATTAAACAAATCGCACAATTGAAGAGACCAATAACAAGTTTCCAAGAGGGATCAGAATCTGATATAATTACAGATATAATGTGGGGAGATCCTTCTACAATTACTAATTTATATGCACCAAGTCCACGTGGCTTTGGCTACGTTTTTGGAATGGATTCTGTTATTGAGTTCCTTTGTAATAACAATGTCAAGTATATAGTAAGAGCTCATCAATGTGTTACTCAAGGGTTTGAAGAGAATTTCGGCGGCGCTTGTATGACCGTATTTTCAACAAGTAATTACTGCACAATGCCGCCAAATTCCAGTAGTATACTCCAAGTTACAGAAGATAACCATCGACCAACAGTTTTTGCTCCAATCAAGCACTTTAGAAAATTCGAGGTTGAATTTAGAGAAATCGAGGTCCAAGACACTGTACCGCTATGTAATAAGCTCAAACCCGTTTCACGCACCAATTCCAACAAAGTTAAAAATCCCGGTAAAAGATTCAATAACGTCCAGGTTGTATTCACATGCAAACCAAGGAGAACCGAAGAAGGTCATGGAATTTACTCATATAGTTCAACTTCTGAGCTTCCTAAGCTTGAAAATGGACCAAGAATGCTCAAGAAATCAAATTCACAACCAGAAAAACTTCATCTTGAGTGATATCTCACATTTTATATGTTTGTTTGTTATTTTATTCTATCTAAACAACTATTCTTCGAATACGAATATTTTTTATAAATTTTCCAAAGAAATATGATGTAAAAATCACACAGTTAAGTCGAGATACATACAAGGAACTATTTTGTATGATTTTTTCTGGACCTTGATCGTATCTTAATTGTATTGTTTTATTGTTTGAAACAATAAGATGAGTTCTATGATAAATCTTCCATAAAAACGACATAAATCAAGATTGTCATATTTATCCAAGCCCAATCATTTATTATTCAGTGAAATTGAATTTCAATTATGAATTTCTAGGATGAAGAGCTTAAAAAATAACTTTAGTTTACTAAATAAAATTATTTATCTTTATTATAATAAATTATTATATACATTTATATATAAAAGAGATATGCCATTTGAAGGAAGTAAACACTTCAAAAGGCATATTTATAATTAAGTTTTTTTATGGTGAGACTTCAGCTACATCTGTTCCCATCAATGACTCAGTCATTTCAGTATGTCTTTCGAAGATAAATCTATTGATCTTCTTTCTATGCGATCTAATGAGAAGCAAAGCTGCAATTCCAATGATTATTGCCATCAATCCAGCAACAGAAGAAATAATTATTATTGTCATAGTTGATTTCTTATTTGATACAGGAGTTGGTGTCAAAAGCGAGTCCATGTGAACAAGAGAGAAACAAGATTTTCCATTTCTTTTTATCAATTTCATATCAAAAACTCTTGATGAACCATTGAAATTCCAATGATTACTATTGAATTCGTAACTTAATTCATCGAAATTCACTTCAAGTTCTTGGAAACAAATGAGATCCAAACTGAAATCATCCCAATCTCCATCATAAAAGAACTGATCTTGTACATTATCATTTATGAACTTAACATGAAGTCCTCCATCTTCACTCCTCTTAAAATCTCCATCTTTATATTTAACATCAATCACAACAGGTTTATCATTTATTTTTGTCACTTTTTGTACATCAAGATGATTGTAATTTGCTGCTGTCAATTTTTTGATATTAATGAAACCACATTTAAACAAAGAATAATGTATTTCTATTGTTTCAACACCGAACACGTCTTTGAGGTCAGAGAAAGTATCAGAATAAATTGCTAATGTCTTGCATTTTATTGTTTGATTTGTTGGTAAATTTGTTTGTGCAGACATCTCCAATCTTTCAGTATCAATAAGAACATTACTATTTATTATTACCGCATGCTGTTCTAAACTTACTTTCTTAAATTTTATTGTGTCATGGCCTTGATAATTCAAAGAAAATAGTGACAAAATTGTCAATTCTGTTTGTGGCCGAATTTCAGTGTAGTTTTTCATTATTAATTCGTTAAATTGAACAGAAAAGATAATTGGAAATATTGTGAAATCCATGAAAACTTTCCCATTCACATTTAATGCCAAATTTCCTATATCTGCATCAGAATATAAACAAATGTCTTTAGAAATAAATTGATTTGAAAATCGTGTAAAACGTGACGATTCATTGAAAGTTAAATTGCTTGCATCTGTTGATATATAATTATGACCTGAGAAAAAGATAGTATTCTTTTCATCATACACTGATTCTCTGAAAATTTGCAAGTTATCTCCTGACATATAAAAGAATAATTTTTCTACATTGATATTATGTGTAATAACATTACTATCTCTGATCTGAAAACTATTCCCAATGAATCTAACATCTGGATCTAATAAGCAATCACGAATTATACAATTTGAAATGTTAAGTTTAACATTGTTTGGATTCTTAAGTGTTAAATTTGTTAAATAAAGATAACTAAATTCTTCATTTGATGTAAAATAAACAGTGTTTGTTTTGTGACGTGAAGTGATATTAAATTGTCTTCTTCTTGGTGAAAAATGATCAATAACAAATGGTTCTTCGTATTCATCCCATATTACAAGTTGGAATGGTTTCCATGAATAGTCAATTCCAGGAAAAACCTGTTTAAATTCATTAATTCCATATCTGGTTCCATCTAAAAATTCTAAACTTCCTTCTTCTGCAACGTAAATCTTATGAAGCAACACTGGTTTCTTGTATTTCAACTCTATAACATATTTTTCATTATTCACATCGTACTTGAATCTTTGTTCTGTGTCAAATATATCATTTTGAACATGAACAATAGGTTTATGGACATCGAATAGATCTCTATTTTTCATTTTGCAGAAGACATAATTTATTGATTCGTTGGCGTCTAAATATATGAGAAAAAGGTTTGGAGATAATGGTTCGAGTCGTAGAGGGACTAAGCGATTGTCAATGTAGTTGAAAACTATTACCCCTACATCCAATTTGCAACACGTCAAATAAGAATGATAAAAAAGTGCAATTCTTCTTGATGAAATATTTGCATTGTCCATATCAAGTGTAGAGTCATGTAATTCCATTTTAGAGATGTTAAACAGAAGGTTGCTGCTTTTAATTCGGACTTTGGAATCATAAATCTCTAAATTTTCAATGAAGATGGGAGATTCATTTTGGATTGATTCAAAAATAAGATCACCCATTGGTTTTACACTAGAATAGAATTCTAATCCTTTAGTTTCACTTATAAATGTTGATATCGATTTATGAATATGAATCAAATTAGCGGGAAAAATCACACTCTTCATCTTATATATGGTGCTATAGTATTGGTATATCGTTAAGATTGGAATACTATCAAGCCATGAACAACTGAGGAATGTCAGTTCTGAGTTTTCAAAGACGTGTATATAAGGTAGTCACAAAATCTAAGTAGTGAGGCTCTCAAAAATTGAACCGTACTCCATACAAAATTTGTGTACCCTCACTACTTGGATTTTGTGGCCTTCAATTGAGAGGTTAGTTTTGATAGAGCACGTTATAAAATTAAAAGGGAAAAATAAATAAAATTTAAACATTTAATTATATATAATGTAAGGAGTGTAATTCCAAATTTTCTAAAAACTATTCAAATTTGAGCATTTTTTTGGAAATAGTAAATCTAATATGTACATCTAATAACAACATGATTCATCACCTTTTCAAGCTCTGCAGTCAATTTTTTGAAATTTGATTGAAATAAATGTAGCAAAAATTACATTTCATTAGGGAATATATGAGTTTCTCTGGAAACAGGCTGATAAATTTTAAATTTTGTCCAATCAACATGAATGCATTGAGAAATTTGGATTGATTTTCTGGTAGAATCTGGAACAATTCAACCATGTATAAATGGATCATGTAATCATCATGAAATGTTAGTGTTAGAGTTCAAAAGAAACAGAATGAGTGGAAATCAAACACAATCTGAATAATTTTAAACGTATACAATCTTTAAGTTTGTATTTTGAATTCTACATATATGATTGTGTAATTCGTTCTTTCAAATTTTCGGATTCAGGCATGTTTTGATAAAATTCATTCCCAAAAACGTCAATTAACAATTAAATTTAGTGTATTTTAAATATATATACGTATTATATTTTATAAATTATATTAAATTCGCAAAATTTTAAGTTTTAAACAAAAATAAAAAATGTTCAAAATATGAAATTATGCATAGGATATTAAAATTTACATGTTAGCAATTTTTTTGAATTGCTTTCAATTTTCATATTGAAATTTTTAAGATTTTTTTCTGAAATAATAAGCAAGAATATCAACCTAAATAATATTAAATTCCATGCGTTAATTTCCCCTCAAAAGTCATTAACCGCCTCTCAATCTAGATTTTGTGAGTACTTTAGATTTGGCACGTATAGATAAAGTTTGATACAAACTTGTTATGAATGGATATTGAAGCACTAGGTACGAGATAAATTGAAATTGTGTCCTTTTCGGATGGTGTAATCACTAATTTTGCCGAAGTTTCTTGTTTTTGCCGTTGAACAAATAGTATATGATCACCAATGAAAGACAAAGTCACAAAATCAGGAACGTTTGTGATATTATATGCAGCAATACTTGTATTTTGTGGATAATTTTTGAATTTTTCATGGATAACATCATTGAAGTCGACACAAATTGTTATATTTTTCGCTAGTTTCGCCGGCCTCTTCAGCGTTTGCTTGAAATAATAATAAGATTAATAAGATTCTCATTCAAAAGTAATAAATTCTCAATTTTTGAATTTTTTGGCCTTCAGAAAAAAATTACGAGGTTTAATTTTTGTTTTTCATCATGTACCCAACAAATTTCTGTTATAAAATTTTTTTAACCACTTAAATTTTGAATGGATCAATGTGATTTTGCACTTTTTTGATATTTCAAATAAAGTCAGATTGATATATGCACATACTGTTATTGTGCACATATTGTATGTCACAAACAAAATCAGTAGCAAGCAAGCATAATAAAGAAAGAATATCAATCGATTTCGGAAAAGAAAATTATGAAAAAAATAAAAAAATTCAAATATCTTCTCCGAATTGCAACATATATGTCAACCAAGTGTCTGGGTCTTTGTTTGTTGCTTTCTTTGGCCAAAAAATCTCATTCAAATCAAAAAATTATCATAATGACGAACAAAAGGTAGCTCTAGAGCTGCTTTCACCCAAGAATATCACGTTGCGATTCAATGAAAACACAAATTTAACAATTCATAATAGATTTAATTCAAATAAATTTCTTGCAGCAGATTTCACCTTGATACTTAACAAAAGCTGTACCATTACATTTCTTAAGTGCTCATATAACGAAAAACAGTTCAAGATGAACATAATTCAAGATTTTCCGACGTCATATTATATTAGTTCATCATTTCTTCCAGCAGACTTACAAATAGGACAAAATTCTACAACAGATATATACTTTGACACACTAAATCTCAAGCTGAAGAGTATTCACACTTCATCATCTTTTAATTTGATATCTTCTCAAAAAAATTCCAAAATTTTCATACAAGAATTACAGTCAAAGTATTCTGAAATTTCTATTAACACAAATTCAGAAAAAATCGAATTTGACAAAATTGATTTGAATAATACAATTCTAAATATACCAAATTCAAGAATTAGTAGTACATTATGCTTTATTAAAAATATATCACAAATAAATTGTTCAAATCTATACATATACAGAACACTTTTATATCCAATTGAAAATCATATTTATTTTGTTGCAGAAGATTTATCATTAGAAATAATAGTTGTTAACAACCTTGATGGCGTTAAAAAGAAAAACATAATTATCTCAAAAACGCCATCAGCGCCGAGGATTGTTTCTGATAGTATCTATTCTTCAAACTCGAATTTTGTCAAGAGAAATTATTTATATCATCCAGAGACACAATTTTACAGTTTGGATTTGATAAATAAGCGTAAGAATGTATTTAATAGACTGATTGTTACAGAATCAGATATAACTATTGATGAAACTTACGTTACAAAACTCTCCGATTTGAAAGACTTTTTGAGAAAGTCAATGGATTATTCGAATTTTTCTTTTGACATTGAAATTTGGGATGACTACAAAACCAAAACAATTAAAATTGCAAATATTGCCGGATATAGAAAAATTTTGAATATACGCTCTAAATACTTTTCAAAGGTAAGATTTTATGATGAGAAACAAATACATTATATTAATTTCGATAATGTATTAGTAGATGATACTTATTTTGTAGCAACTACTTTTGCTTTACATAATGCAGTTGTTTCAGAAAATTGTCAAATAACCGTTTTAGGGAGTTTGAAAACCACGAACAGTTCACTTTTGACACCTAACATAACTTATAACTCTAGTGAATTACGCTTTTTAAATGATATTGTTGTTGATGAAAAGACTATAAATGATTCGTTAAATTCAGTTCAAATCAAAGGAGATTTCGGTTTAATTGCAAGGAAAAATGTCAAAATAAATTATGATCATTTAGTAAATAAGATTGAATATAAAGGAACAAATAATACATATATTATATCAGATATCCAACTAAATAATCCAACATCAATATCAACAATGAGAAAACTTTATTTAGACTTCAAATATTTGCCAACAAATTTGACACTTTCTACACCAGAATATTTTATTTTTGACAAAACAAAAATTTCTAATGAAACAAATTTAGCTTTAGAGTTTCCAATAACCATAGATTCTGAATCAAAAAGAGATGTTGTACTAAATACATTGCATCTACAATCAAAATCCGTTTTGGATTTGACAAATAACGTGAAAATTTTCACAAATGTATTGAATGTTTCAACATCAAAACAACCCAACAAAGTTACTCTTAATACAAAAATTCTGTCACTTTTAGAAGACTCTTTTACAACGATAGATAAGGTTAATGGTGTAGAGTTCATAGATATTCATTATTCTGTTTTTAAACTTGGTTTCATACACATAAATAGTTTGAAATCATTAAAAGCAAATAATCAAACTAAGAGTAATATTGAGGATAAAAATATTACTCTTATATATGTTGAAAATGCGAAGAAAGCAAAGTGTCCCGGTGGTTTGCATGTTAGATTTTATAATGATGATATTGAAGATCAATTTTTCTATGATGGTGATTGGGACGATTTCAACATCGATTTTATTTGTTTTGACTCGTTTGAAGTTAATGAATCATGTTTAAGTTACGAATTCATCAGTCATCACTGGGATTTCAATGGTAGTACTCGAACGTTTGATATGTCTATTTCTAAAAAGAACTCACAAACATGTATTTCATTGGTTCATCGTGATGCAGATTCGAAAGATGGATCAAAGAATCCTGGTGATAAGAAAATAAAGATAATAATTTATTCTCTTATTGGTGTATTAATTGTTATAATCATTGTTATCATTGCAGTTGCTGTTATTTGTAAGAAAAGAAACAAAAAGAAATATATTATTCGATTTGCTTCGGATAATGCTAGTGAAGCTTTGACTGAATCATTGCTTGCCATGGAATAGTATTATACTATTCTATTTTATATATAATAATTATGAAATATTTTTAATTTGATTTCCGAATTTTTCTTTTTAAATTACGGATTTATTTGACATGTCTCTTGTAATATTGTAAATAGTTTTAAAATAAAAAAGAATTAATGAATGTGGTTAATTTTTGTTTGATTTTCGAAATTCTAACGTTAAATCACTTTTTTTTCATAGTGTCAAACACAATCCGAAGCCTTTTTAAGCTCATTTGTTAAAAATTCGGAATGAAAATGAGGATTATTACAGATCCAACCAGTAACAAAATAACTCTCAAAATGTCCATTCAATTTTCAAATCTTATTTGAAATAAAATTATATTGGACATACATATAATAAAATTCTTTGATTTTCAAAAAAAGTCATTTTCGGTTATTTTTTACATTTTATTTTTGCAAAATTAAGCCCGATTTTAGTGCGATATTTGATGACCTTGTATGTCATGTTTTTTTTGAATTTTTTTGATCCGCAAACGAATATTTTTGGTGGTTTCAAGTATTACTAGATCTAAGTATCACCAATTTTCTTACATATTCCGAAATAATTCAAAAAAATCTCAAGAAAATTCTGTTTGAAATATTATAAAAATATCATCCAAATACTGCAAGGACCATTATTTGAATAAATTTGAATTGATGATCCCTTCATTTCGATAAAATTGAAAACTTCATTATTTTTTAAAGATAATCCATCTATTGATATTGCTTTAATTGACACAATAATAATAAAAAATAACATTTCTTAAGAAATTTGACATTTTTTTGTTTTTTTTTCAGAAATGTTTCTGTGTTGTTTCTTTTTATGGAAACAATGCCATTGCGAAAAAATGATCCCTTCGTCATCAGACAACACATATGAAATAGATTTCATGAAAGAAATTCAGAAAGGGCCTCAAATAATTCAGATTGAAAATATTTATTCCAAAGTTGTAGTATCATATGTTGCATACGATTCGGTTATTGCAATTATTGGTAATAAACTTCTCTTCCAATGTAAAAGAAATGATTTAACACAACATTTTTATTTGATCCCATCAATTAACTCTAATATTGAGATATATACGGCCGAAAATTCAAATATTTCAATATACAATAAGTTCCCATCAATAATTTTTTATCAATTATCCGTCAATATTTATCTTGAAAAATTTTGCAAAGTTAATTTCCTTAAAGCCCAATGGTTACTCAACCGAACAATTTTTACAATCAACCAGTTCTATCCTGCTGAATATACATTTTATTGCAATATTGTCCCTATCAGATTGATTCAATTAGAAAAAGCTGATTCAATCTTCAAAATTGGTACAGATTCTATCAATTTTTATGGTGCCATCACTATTTCTTCCTCAATTACAATAGTTCCACTTCAAAATAAATTTAACCACCTTGAATTTAATATTGTCCAGGCAAAATCGCGTGGTATCATATTTAATGCAAATGGCTATGATTTAGAAATCAGTTTCCTTAACATTATATCAGGAAATATCGATTTTCTGAAATCAAATCTAAAAATTGGGAGAGTTTCATTTTATGATGGGACATTTCTCAAAGGAAATAGTTTAGAAGTATCCGATGTAAGTATATATTCAGGTGTTTATGAGATTAACGTTCCTTTTATTCAAATGAATAATTCAGTATCAATAAATAGGTTCAGCGTCAAATACAACACAGAAGAAATTGCATACAATAGATGGAAAATCATCAGATCAGGCCAACAACCAGTATTCGATCTATTGAAACTTATATTTTTGGATACAAAAGTTATTATTCCTTTAGATTGGTATTTTGACAACGAAACATTAATTACTCAGATCAATTTCCAGAGAATCAATAAACAAATATTGGATAAATTATATGTTACAGAAAAAGATACTTATTTTGCAGATGCATACATAACAGATTTGAGTTCAATTGATGAAGTTTTTAATAAAATTACAGAAACAGATAACAAATTTGAAATTTTCATTTTAGATGAATACGAAGAACCAATTAATATAAAGAATATGTCTTCAGTTAGAACTCATTTGGCTATCATTTCTCAATCAAGGAAAAACAAAGTAAATATTATTGACCAAGGATCTTTTAAATCTCTTGATTTCAAAAATTTGACATTAATTAACACAAGAAATGAAATTGATTCAATAAGTATTGAATTAACAGATTGTTATTTACCTGTTGGAGTTCTAATAGATTGCAACAGAATCAGAACTTCTACATCTATAATTGAAACAAAAGAAATAATTACAAAAGAATTTACAGTTTTATTTGGTCATCCATTTGTTTTGAATGAAACTGGTTTCTTTTCAAGTGATTCAGTTATTTATTCACAAAACCAAAATAGAGTAGTATATACAATTATCACATTTGGTGATGCGAAAATAGAAACTACTAATTTTCCGATGTTTGTTAGTACAGGAAAAACAACTAGCCTTAGTTCAGATCTTCAAATCAATAAGATTCATTTCATAGATTATGCCAATCTAGATCTTAAATATTTTCCATTGGTTGCGAGATTTAATACAAGGAATATTAATATATCAAAAAATACAAAATTCGATGAAAATTCAGTTATTGAATTTGTGACAAATACGACTTTTTATCCGAACAGAAACAATGAAATCAAAATAAAGAGAGTTAGTTTTATGATGTCAGGAACAATTATGAATCAAAACCATTACTTAAGACCACATATTTTGAATATTTCATCAACAATTACTAATATAAATGAAACAATTCCACCAAGTATGAAAAGTGACATTTTGTCAATTTCTCCAACTTGCTATTTCATGCTTGATAAAGTCAGCGAAGTAGAATTCATTGATATACATTATACAATAACTCAAGCCGGATATTTAATTGTAAAGAATTTCATTTCAAAGAATTTCATTCATACTACAAAGAATGATAATTTAAGAAGTGAAGTGAACTCAAAAAGTGACAAAACTAAAAATAATTCGAACAAAGACACAATAAATATTAATATTTCTAAAGTTGAATATATTGAAAATGCGAAGAAAGCAAAGTGTCCCGGTGGTTTGCATGTTAGATTTTATAATGATGATATTGAAGATCAATTTTTCTATGATGGTGATTGGGACGATTTCAACATCGATTTTATTTGTTTTGACTCGTTTGAAGTTAATGAATCATGTTTAAGTTACGAATTCCTCAGTCATCACTGGGATTTCAATGGCAGTACTCGAACGTTTGATATGTCTATTTCTAAAAAGAATTCACAAACATGTATTTCATTGGTTCATCGCGATTATGAAGAAAGCCATGAAGAAAAGAAGGAAAAGAACAAAACTCCACTTATTGTCGGTCTTAGTATAGCAGCTCTTATTTTGGTAATTGCTGTTATATTGCTTGCTATTGCTATGGTAAAGATTTCTAGAAGGAGATTAAACTCTTTCACCTATTCAGACACACTGACTGAATCATTAATTTAATTGTATTGTTATGTAAAATTATATGTTTTTTTCGATACTTTATACTTTTTTTGAGTTTTGCTTTAATTTTGACAAATTATTCCATTTGATTTGTTTTATGTATTGACATTATTAATCCAGGTTGTAATTTTTCATTTTAGATATCATAGATCATTGTTTCTTTCCTTTAAATTTGCTAAATATTGAGTTATACGTTGATATTATTGATCAATAATTTTAAAAAATAATATTTTTTATTTGAAATAGTATATTAAAATCGTTTACTAGGAAAATGCATATAGCTAGATAAATTCGAATCCAATCTGTAAAAATATAATCAATATGGATTAAAAATTGTTTTCAATCAGTGATATAATTAAAATATAATAACAAACAATTTATTCATTATATACTAAGCTAGATGAAGTAGAGTCAATTAAAAATAAAATACCCTATATTTCCAACTCTTGGAAAATTTTCATGACCCCCCTACCCAGGGTCCTAAAATGGGTATTTTCCTCACACAGACACCGTGGTTTTTTGAGCCGGGAAATAAATAGCGCAGACAGTTTCTACATATAGAGACATGCTTATACTTAGAGTTTGACGGGAATCTAAAGTGATTTTTTTCTGCATCGCGAAATCTAATGCAATCTCAAAATCATGAAGAAACTGCGAATCGGAGCGCAATTTTTTAATATGTTAATATATAAAGGTACCCCTACTACTGCAAATGCTTCAAATGAAAATCTAAGAAATCAGATTAATTTGATCACGTTAGTATAGTATTGGTCAAACCAAAAACTCATATGTTGATATATAGCCTATGGATATTCATATTATCTACTTTTCATTGAATTACATAAGATTTAATAATCTCATAAATATTCTTTTTAATTTTCCGAATTCCGTGTGCATTTAGATTGCCCATACCTGTATATAATAATTCTAGAATGGTTTTGTTAGATATTAAGTTTTTTAGATTAATATTTTAACATTTTGATAAAACAAGCATTTGTTCCATTTTAGAATCGCCATTGAACTCTGGTTTGACTAACATGATGTTGTATGATCAAATAAATTCTAACTTCATGAGATAAATTTTGAAATTAGAAAATGCGATATCTGACTCAAATATTTATATGAACACATTTAACATTCAATGATAAACTAAAGTACTATACAGCAGATTCGATTTGGCTTATATTTTATATAATCAACTAATAATCCTATAAAATTGTGCTATTCACGTTGCTCAAAGATGTATTGAACATTCACTACTTGTGTATTGATAAAATTAGATATAGATTCTAATGTAAATCGATATTTTGAAAATTCATATATATTTTGTCTTGGTTTGGCATTTGATCGTGTTGAAACCGGAATTGCAATATATATCATCTAAATATATAACTATCAAAATATGAGCTATAGATTTTTAAATTATTCTCCTGAATATGAGTGACTAACATAATTATATTGAATTGAGTAGTAAGAATCTTAAATATTAGAATCTGACGATAATTTATTATAACTGTATAAAGGAACAAGACTATAAATGATGATGAAAATAAAGATTAAATTTAAATCTGAAAATTTGAAAACATTAAGTGTATTGTGCACTCTTGTCGTTACAGTGTCTCATTCCGGGAGACATTGTCACTGCATGTCTCCCAGAATGATATCAAGTTCCCCATTCATAACTTGAATGCGGAACTTTGACCGACAAGAGTGTATTGTGCACTCTTGTCGGTTGAAAGTTCTGCAATCAGAAGAAGATTGTTGAACAATCCGCCATTCCAGGAGGCATGAGCTTGTTATCTCTCCTGAAATGGCACATATTTGATAATTCATGGAGCAGAACTTTGCACGCAATCAGACAAAAGATTGCGACAGAGTAACTGGGAAGACAGCAACTTGAAGCGATAAGCTGCTTGGGTGCTGTCTCCCAGATGCATCTGTCGGGCAAAGTCTCAAAGGAGCAGAACTTTGCACGCAATCAGACAAAAGATTGCGACAGAGTAACTGGGAAGACAGCAACTTGAAGCGATAAGCTGCTTGGGTGCTGTCTCCCAGATGCATCTGTCGGGCAAAGTCTCAAAGGAGCAGAACTTTGCACGCAATCAGACAAAAGATTGCGACAGAGTAACTGGGAAGACAGCAACTTGAAGCGAAGTTTTGTTTTCGAGTCTTTGGTTAAGAAATCTTAACAAAAAAACAAAGAAAAAAATCAGATAAAGTTGTCAATAACTTCATCAGTTAATGCTCACCTATGGGAGGTGTTTTGCGGGAGCTGGGGGTATCTTGGTGAGTACTCAGGAGGCCAAGAAGGGCACCCCAACCGACATTATCCTGATGAATTCAGTTGTCAACCATTCTGAAAACCGCCGAAACCGTCGTGTGTAGAGAAATTGTTTAAATTTATTTTTTCAGATTTAAATAAAAATAAGAAATGTTTACTATTATGGATTTTGAAATTTTTTAAATTAAGAGTAGGAGATGAGACAAATTTAAATTTTTAAGAAATATTTGGAAGGGCGTAAGATACGCCAACTTAAATATATTATCAAATGAGAGAAAATCACTCAACAAAAAAACAATTCTTTCAAAAGTTTGACATTGATCTTTCTAATACATATTTTTGGAAGGGCGTAAGATACGCCAACTTAAAAATATTATCAAATGAGAGAAAATCACTCAACAAAAAAACAATTCTTTCAAAAAGTTTGACATTGATCTTTCTAATACATATCCTATGGAAGGAGTTTACATTCTCAAAATAAAAACCAGTTCAAAATCTTATTACTCCTTGAATTAAAATCATTTAATTTCAAAGCCATTCCAAATCCTTAAATCTGTATTAAAATCATTTTGCCAACAACCAACACAATACAAATTACATTTCCATATATCTTCTTGTCCATTTTAATTTTTTATCTCATTTTATTTAATTTTATTTAAAGCATATAGACATCGAGATCCTTTACCAATAGTTATATAAAAGTCAAATACATAATAAATTCTTAATTCTAGAGATATCTCAAAATCTCATTTTTTTAATTTAAAATACCTTTCATTTTTCACAGTACTATCACAACAAACAAGCCATTTACTAATTAACACATATAAGAAAAATATCAAATTACAAAACAACTTTCAATATCATTCGCATCAAATTCTATTTTTTCATAATTATCAACTACATGTTATTATATAATATATGTCGGCGCATATTCCACTCTATACAAGTGTCAGACACACTCACACAAAGCTGTGAGATTCATACCTCTATCAGTAGGACTTCTCAAATCAAGAACACATATGTTTCACTATCGCACATCTGTGTAGGATCTAATTAACCCTTTGGACTGGTACTTCAAAATTTGATAATTTGATAATTTCATGTGATATCATCATTTGCCTTTAAAACAACTGTGCGTTAAACTAGACACGTTTCTCTATCATAATGCAAAATATCAAAGTTTGGGAGACTCCCAAAGTGTCTGAAACTGATCATAAGGGTGAAAAACCGTTTTCCAGAAGTTGGGAACGTAGGGTAATTAAACATTAAATGCTTCGAAAACGAAGCAGTGCAATATAAGCAAATAAATTAATCAAGCTTTCTGACCAATTTCGGAGAAGCGTTTGCCATAATCAATCTTTTTGCTCCTTTTTGGAAAGTTGAGCCTCGTATTGGCATCTTTTGGTTTGTAAGTAAATGGTTCCGCATTTTTGGATGGTTATAAGTTGAATTAAATTTGAACGAATTTAAATCTCCGGCAGATTTACAGAAATCAGCACATTCTTTATTTATTTGCTTCCTCATCATTATCTTTGTGCCAACGTAGCTGTCGTTCGAGTTTGCCGCCCATCTTTCGGTTTGATTAAAAGGATCTCTAAGAATGAAGGCATTTTGGTATGAAGCGATCCAAGGTAGTTCAGCTGCTTCTTCCGATGATGGTCTTTCTTCAGGATCTTTATTCAACAATTCTTTGATAACAGTTATGATCTGTTGGTTGCTAATCATGGGGTAAAAAGGATCTTTTGTAATGATCTTAGAGGTCAAACTTTGCATATTTGGATCTCCAAAGGGTAATGTGTTATATGTAAGCGCATAAAGTATAATTCCGAGGCTCCACATGTCTACTTTGTGGTTATACGGCTTTCCCATTAACAGTTCCGGAGCCGAGTAGGATGGAGAACCACATGTTGTTTTGAATAATGCTGCGTCATGTTTTTGTTGATTACTCAAGCCAAAATCAAGAAGTCTAACGTTTAAATTCTTATCGATAATGATATTTTCGAGTTTCAGATCTCTATGGACTATTTTTAATGTTTTGTGTAAATATAGAACAGCGGAAAGAATTTCACAAAAAATGTGCTTGATCTTCCAATCAGGGAGTTTTCCTTGCTCTTTTATGTAATCAAGAAGCGTAGGCCCTTCTACGTATTCCATGACAAGATATAAATTTTCAGCATCTTCAATGACTTCATATAGCGAGACAATGAAAAGATGATGTAATTTCATCATTATATCATATTCCTTTGAAGAGTTAATGCTGTGTGCATTTTTAGTAACGATTTTTATTGCAACTTTTTCATTTGAAGGTTCATGAGTTGCTACATAGACTTTACCGAAATTCCCTGAGCTGAGGTGTTTGTCAAAAACATAAGGACCGATATTCCGGTTCATCTTTTACTGGAAAAGAAACGAAAAGAAAAATGTGGATTCGATAGAAAAAATTGACATCACAAATTTTTCACTAAATTCTAGAGGAAATAAAAACAGTATTAGTGTTAGTTATTTTTTCTAAATCATATCATGAGAAAAATGCGTGCTAGATTTTGAATGAATTGAGAGGATATGTCAAAATGCTTTTAATATTCGACACGTATTTGCAATTGTTATCACTTCTAAATGAAATTTGCAAAATTTTGAAACTGTATTTTATACAGATAAATTTAATAAATTTGAAATAGACAACTTTCTCCATATAAATGTTACATCGATTTTTCCTTTTCTTTGTCTTTTTACATCAATTTCTGCGTTAGTTGCTTTTTCCATGATCCTAATAACACGGTCATCTGCTGGATTTTGATCAATTTTGAGTTTGATAACGAAAGATGGTATCACTTTTGTATAAATTTCTATAATAACATCATCAATTCTGAGATTTTTTCGATCAGGAAAATAGTCATGTTTGAGTGTTCTAAAATGAGCTTCGGCAATATTGTTAGTTGCGTCGCCTTCACGCCTGTCACGAGCAATCCATCTTGATATGTTGTAACGCCATTGTCTGTTAAAGTATTGAGATGATGTTGGATCTGTGTCGAGCAACTCCAGAACTTGATCATAGACAGCATTTGCTTCTTCCTCATGTTCTGCATCTAATTTGAAGACTAAATCCTTCATCAAATTATAGAATTGTTCAAATTTTTCTTGAGAAGAAAACTTATTTGTTTTGCGAAGAATTGCACGAAGAACATGTACTCCGCACCAAAGTATTTGAGCTTGTGGAATGCTTTCTTCTATTGCTTGAGCTATCTGTGGAGCACAGTCCATGCTAATGTATTCTGGCTCAATTGTTACCCATCTGAGATAGGTGCACACGCAAACTTGAATGTTTTGATAAGTGTCTGGTTGACAAAAGAAATATAAAAAAGGAAAAATGTGAAAATCTTTGATTTTGCCAGTAAATGCATACAATGGAATGTTTGATCGCAACAATTTATAGGTGCTGTCTATATGAAATGTCTTGATACTATGCGCATAAGCTTTGCCTTCAAAAGGCGCGTAATAGAAACACATATTATTGTCTGAGACTTCAAATGCAATGAGATCATCTGGAAATTCTTCTTGTACTGTCTGAACAAAGATTTGCAATGACACAACATCGTCAGGAGAATATCTAGTTTGAAGAGCATGTATTCTCTCTGCAAATCGTTTGATTGCACGTGGTTTTTGAGCGTACATCTCTGGAATGGACGGACCTGTAAGAGGAATTTCAAGATCTTTGAATGCATTTAGCTGTGCTATCGCTCTTTGATTGTCATCTGTTTGGAAGTAATGTTCTAAATATAGGGTGTCCAAAGGTGTGTTTAGCACAAACCTGAATACTGCGAATAGAAATAAACAAGTTACATATATATAAAGTTTATTTAAATATAATCACCATTGGATTCAATCACGCGTTCGCAGCGATCGATCCAGGCTTGAAAGACACGCTTTAAATCATCATGAGAAAATTGCTCAAATTGCTCTCTTACAAAATTTTCAAGATCATCTGGACTCGCGAATTCGCGTCCTTCAGCTCTCTTTTTTAGCGTGCCGAATAAATAAAAGTCAGAAGGTGCAATATCAGGTGAATAAATTGGGTTTGGAACAACTTTGACATTGTTTTCCACCAAGTAATTCATTACCTTATGACTTTTGTGAACTCTTGAATTATCAAAATGAATTGCAAACTTTTGTTTTTGTTGTTTGGATTTCTCAAACTCATCAGAATTGATAATTTGAGTAAGAACATTGTCAATTAGATACTGAGCATTCATCGTATTAGGTTTTTGAAGAATATCAATTGCGATGATGCCATTCACGCCCCAAAAAACCGACAACATCATCATTGGTGTGTCAATTTTTTTCTTCGGGAATGTTTGCGGATTTTCATCCTTCGGGATCCACATGATTTTGGCTTCTGTTGCATATTGAAACCAAGACTCGTCCCCTGTTACTAAAAAGCGAAACTTCTTGGATTGATACGCACCCAATATAGAGAGGAGCTCTTTCGAAGATTGGACTCTAGATTTTTTTTGAACTGAATTAAGGTTGTGCGGAACCCAACGTGTATACGCTAGTTTGTAGTTCAAATAATTGTGCAGATAATAACTGACTGTTGTACATGGTATCTTTGTCATCTCCTCTATCCTTCTGAGTGATGCTCTTGGGTCTTCATCTAGCGCTTGAAGAATTGCTTTGATTTTTCTTTGATCCGGCGATTTTTTGTCAATTTTTATGATGGGCGCCTTTTTGTTCATGAAGTGATACATCCTAACATGATACGTTACAGTGGAATAGCTAGGAGCATCCATACCGAAGCATTTTACCAATGTCTCGTAGATTTTTTTACAGTCTTTGCATTTTTTTGCAAGAGCGAGGATGTTTTCTTTATGATTCATTAAAAAAATGAAAAAAATCCCGCCAAAATTTCCCGCGAAACCGCCTCTTGTCTCAAAATTCATTTTATATCCCGGCATGGCGCCAAAATACAACATACTCATCATATACATATATTCATATTTTTTATTATATATTTATAATCAGCATATATCTCCTTTAATAGTCTCATATAGAGCGCTGTGCTAAACGCACCTTTGGACACCCTATATTTGCGATAAAAGACAGACGAATATTGACTTTTGTCATTTGGGGCGGAATGATCATGTTCTTCAACTATTTTGATTAGTTTGTATTTATTTTGATCCAAGATTGCAACATTAAAATGTGCAGGACATTTTGGATATTTGCAGTGGAATGAAATCTGAGATCTTTCTTTTCTGACACGTTCACCATATCCATACTGTGCTTGTATTTCTTGTTTAACTCCAAATTTACAAAGATCCATAACAGTAAAGATAGTTTCTTCTTCTAATTCCATTTGAAATTGAAATGAAAATTAAAAATTCAGAAATTTGAATAGATTTGGTCTGTAATTAAATGAGAATAGCAGTTTGTTCGTCATTGTTTGAGGCAAGAGTATTATAGGAATATTATATGATGGATTTGAGTTGCATATAAAGAGTGCAAAAGGATAAAGAGAGAAATTTTGTTAGATTAAATTATTAAATTTTAATTCTTTATTTTTTAGGATTGTTAGCTTTGTAAGATTGCTTTCTCACAAGAGAAAACAAGTATAAGGTTTAAGCTGTATGTATTAAAGTTATAAATATTTGATTTTAAAAAAAATCAAGATTTTAAACTTTAAAGGTATTAATTATGATTATCTTTCTTCAGCTTTGCATGCTGTATGCTACTTTTGGAAACTGCTCTATTGTATTAGAATGTTTTTAAATTTTGCACCTAAAAATGCGTAATATTAAAAATTAAGGTATTAATTATGATTATCTTTCTTTAGCTTTACATGCTGTATGCTACTTTTGTCTTTGAGACATTCCATGATTTAAGTTAAGAAGCTTTAAAAAAAAATGCAAAAAAAAATTGAATACTTTACTGGCTGGGCAAATTTGTCGCCGCCCCCAGAAATGATAACATTTTTTCAGCTATGGTATCGCAGTGGGTAATTTCGAAATTGTAGAGCAATTCCGATTTTAACCGCTCTAGATTCATTGATGTTGATCCGATTCTCACAAAATAATTTTAATTCAAAATGTTTCTCTTTTCTGCATTCGTGAGTTCAACTATCGTCTCTCGTCAGGAAGAAGCTTCATTTATCTCTTGGATGAGAGAAAATAGTGTTATGTTCACAGGAGAAGAGTACGCCTTCAGGCTGGGAATTTATTTAACAACTGATCGCTATATCAAGCAATTCAATCGCGGAAAGCGCTCACATACTCTTGCCCATAACAAGTTCTCTGCTTATACCCATGCCGAATACAAGGCTCTCCTCAACAGTAAGCCAATTCATCCAAGAAATGTACAGAAGTCTCAGATAACAACACAAAAAGTTCAAGTTCCAGATACATGGGATTGGAGAGATAGGGTCGCCTTCAATCCAGTCCGCGATCAGATGGAATGCGCTTCTGGATTTGCATTTGCTTCATGCGCTTGCCAGGAAGTTACATGGAATATTTACTATAACAAATTATACCTTCTTTCACCACAAAACATGTTAGATTGCGCTTACAACGAGGAAGGATGCGATGGCGGTGAAGCAGATCGCGCTGTTGGCTACATAGTTACAGATCAAGATGGTAAGTTCGGTCTTGAAAGCGACTACCCATACAAGAGCGAATCTATGGGTTATTGCGAATTCGACCCTTCAAAGGGTGTTACAAAGGCTTTAGCTGTTAACTACACAAGAGACGAAGCAGACATGAAGGTCCGTGTTGCTACAACTGGTCCACTAATCTGCGGATACGATTCCAGCAGCGAAGATTTCGAATACTACTACCAAGGTGTTTACTACAGCGATGACTGCAGCGCCTGGGGTATTGACCACTGGATGACCATCGTTGGTTACGGAACTTACAACGGAGATGACTACTGGCTCGTTAAGAACTCTTTCGGTAAAGGTTGGGGCCAGCAGGGCTACGGAATGGTTGCTCGTAACAGAGATGGTGCATGCGGTGTTGATTTACTTACATTCAGCATCAACGTCTAAAAAATTTAATTTCTAATTTAATTATTTGAGTTAAAACAATATCAGTTTTTGCCATATTTTCCTAAGATATAATCATTTTATATTTATTTATTTTGATTTTACTCAAAATTAAATTTGATATTTTTCATTCTTATAAATTGTTTGTTGATTTGGTTCACATAAAACGATCTAAACCATTAGTTCAAGTTTTGTCATGAACATCTCAAAAAAGCCAATTTCGTAGAAAGATATTCTAAAAATAAAACAGAAAATTCAATAATTCTATATTTATTAACAAATTCAATAAATAAATGGGAATATACGCTTCTTTTCAAGGACAGGTTTTCCGAATTCTTTGAGATAGCGGTCGTAAATCTTGTGTGCTCGTGGAACGAGGTTAGCAAATGTGAACCAGACAAATACGAGTGCTGCAGGTGATAATGTCAATATGAAATATCCAAACCATTCGATGATTTCACCGAGATAGTTTGCAGAAGTAACGAATCTGTACATTCCTTTATTTGGGAGATAGTGCTTTGTATCACCTGGTTTTCGTAAGTTTCTTATTACGTGGTCAGAGTGAATGTTAATAAACATTCCTGTGAAGAAAATTAATGTTCCAATGATAAACTGTGGTGTGTAGAACCATTCATTTGTGTAATATCCTTCTGGTGATGTATAGAATAACCAGCATCCTTGTATGTATCCGTTGCATACGTTGAAAGTTGCACCCATGACCATAATCAATATTGGCATGTAAGATTTACCTTTGATAAGGAATGGGAATATGAATGATCTCTGGAAGTAGTGTATTTGGAAAATAATGAAGAATGTAAGATAAATTAACTTGAATCTTCTTTCAGAAAAGAACCAAAGAATGCAAAGAACGAAGAATACAGGACATTCCATTAATATCCATGCTAATTTGTTTGAAATTGCTGGTCCCCATGATCTACTGGCGAATTTTCCGTAACCAGCGTTAATAAAGTATAAGGCAATGAATACGAAAACACCAATGATGGACATCACTGCCATGAATATCTTCAGACCATAGAAGTCGAGTATGTATTTTTCAATCATCAACTGAGAAATGAACTGTTATTAGATGAGATTTTCAAATAAAACAATTTGAAATATTTACATTATGATGAAATTTTGGATCATCTATGAAAAATTTGACACATTCAATTTGATATCCAAAATTACATTCAGAGTTTCAAACATGTAATTTAAGCATATAATTAGAAACTATTATACTTACTCTTGCCTGTGCAGTTTATGTGAGCTCTCACATCTGATTTTCTAATCTCACTCTCAGTTAAAATCGATATATTTGCCATATGATACAAGTAAGGATATCGCATGATCAATATTTGTGAACCACACTAAATATATTGGTCTGCTTTGATGGAAAAAATGCTGGGAAACGTGCCCCTATGTGTAAAAATTCTGGTTTTTATAGGAATATTCTCCGAATGTGATCCGTATCGAATCCTATTGAATTCATGCATAGCTGTTCAATGAATTATTCATTCATGAGACTTCCCAACGCTGGAATCAGAAAAGAAGCGATTATTCCTATGGATAAGAAAAAGAAGATATGTATCACTTTTCGTTAATGTACTTACAAATTTTTCTTTGATTTATTTTCTGAAGTTTACATTTTTACTTCCCTTTTTTAGTTTCGAGTCGAAGAACAATTTTAACTTCATTACCTCAAAAAATCAGCAACCGATTTGAAATGAATTTAGAGAAATATAATACAAGAACTGTTCCATCAAGAATGGACAGAGTTTTTCCAAAATTCAGAACAAAGAACAAATTACTCTACGAAAAGTCAAAAACTTAGTTCAGAAGATCAGAATTATTATATAAGTTTTTGTAATTTTGTCACAATGATAACAGAAGGTGCCATTAACTTTAAAACTTCGAAAGATACAACCAAAACTCTTATTGAAACAACAAATTTTAATAATTGCTCTAATACTAAAGGAATGGGAGGAAGTTTATACTTCTCCGAAGAAGGTGAATGCGTCCAAAATCGAATTTGTAGTTTAAATTCTAATTCTGCTGAATTCTTTATGTATTGTTGGGTTGATGTCAGTGATATTGCTAAATATAAAAATAAACTTCTTGATTCTTCTATTTCTGAAAGCGGAAATTTATATAAAGATAAACCATATAATATTGTTCTAAAAAATGGAGAAATTGAAATAAATTCTATAAATATTTCTTATACTGATATATATAGTGAAAGCTTATTTGACATAGGATACTATAATTCTTCATCTAGAGCATCATTTTCAACATTTAGTAATAATACTGATACAAATCCATCAGGTAGATATTATATTTATTTTGGTAGTTCATCAGAAACATTATTGATTAAGTCATGTAACTACTTAAGTAACAATTTACATGTAATAGTAAGTTCTTCTAGTGCATATGTTTATGTAGTTAATTGTAATTTCATCAATAACACAGGTAGAAATAGTTATTTTGCATGTACTTCAGGTAATATTACAATTGATGGATGTTTTATTGATGAAAGTAATCCTAAAATCACTTGGACTGTTTTTTTCAAAAATATTGAAACAAATCCATTCAAAATAGAATTTCCAAATTTAACATGTGAGTTTGATATTCTTAAATCAAAGAATGAAGAAGAAACTGAAATCATAAATTTCAACAGAAAGAAAAAATTCTTCAAAAATCTTCATTTTTTGTTCTTTCAATCATTTGTTATTATTTCTCGAAAGAAGTAAAATATATCAACATAATTCATAATTTATATCATTCAATGAGTTCTTCTTCGCGTATCTTGAATTCACCTTTACCAGGAATGTCGTTTTTCGTTGGCATGGAACGCTCACTTGGACTATGAAATCGTGCACCCTTCTTTAGATTGCCAAATTCTGATGTTACTTTGTATTCCCCTGGACCTGGTGTGATTTCACAATGTTCATGCTCTGTTTGAGAAATACTTCAGCATTAAGTAAAAGTACATTAAATCAATTTATATTCAGTTGAATGAGTTAAAATTCCATGTTCTGGTGTTTGATCAACTTTGATTTCAGGATTGGAAATTTCAAGTTGGAATTGTTTCAACATTAGACTCTTGACATTTACTTCTTACGATTTTTTTTTTGTTTTGTTTTTGTTTTTGTTTTGTTTTTGTTTTTGTTTTGTTTTTTGTAAAAAAGTCTGAATTAGAAATCTGTATTAATGAGCAACATTGAGCAGCTTATTAAACGTGCAATGAATAATGATAGGATGGCTGCACAGATATTACTCAAAAACCCTCAATGTTTGCCATTAATACCTGAAAATGCAAATATTTTACTTCAAAATGTAAGAATATTAATTTCAGATGAGCAGCATACACTTGAAAATCGAGATATTGAAAACGACTTCCTCATACTCCCTGCAATTTTATATAAAAATCGAGCAAATCCGAATTTTTTAACTTCTGATCAAAAGAAAGAACTTTTAAGAAAGGTTGTTGAATATTTACAAACTGTTAATGCAATTACTTTCATCGAAGAAGAATCAATTTCAATATTTTTTCTTGGATACTCAAATTTACAAAAAACAAAAGCACCTTTTATTCCAAAAATCAATTATGACAGTATTAGCTCGTATTTACTTACAGAAAATGATTTATTCATTGCATTTTCACTTATTTTTTACATTTTTACCAATATTTACAGAATGTTTGATATTCCTGATTGTCACAAAGATCTTTCATACTTATATTTATATCCTTTCATCAGCAAAATGTTTTTAAGAAATATTATTTTTCCAAAATCATTTTTTGAAACACGTGATACAGTTATCCTTGATATCCTGAATGATATGAAGAGTTCTAGTTCCATTCCAAAAGAGGCAGTCGAATTTGTATCAAAAAAATGTGGCATTTCTTTCAATAAAATTGTTGAATTCTTTGAAATTATTCCAGAAGATATGTACACTTTGGCACTGACAAATATTGAATCAATGGCACTCAAACCATTGATACAAAACGATTTTATCAAAAAAATATTAAAAACAAATTTAAAAAACTTCGAAATTTGTACTAAATACATTGATGACATTGCATTTGTAGATATAATAAGTGAGTTTATCAATGATAATTTCATTCAAAACACTATTTATTGCATAAATTTATTAAATTCATCAAAAATTAAAAAACTTATTTCTTTTAACTTCATCAACAACCACAATGTTGCAAATCTCAATACAAATTTAACTCCAGACATCATTGAATTTTTCCATATCATTTTTTCATGTTTTTCTCATTTTCCATCAGTTATTCCAGAACAATATCGCATTCACAGTTATTATAATGGTTGGAATGACGTCAAAAATGAAATTTTGGATGAAAATAATTTTGATTGTGACAAAAAACCAGAATTTTATTGCGAAAACTGCAAAAAATACTTTTGTTATCATTGTATAACGAAACACATCAATCATATCTACACAAAAGTCACTCCTTCAGCTGAAAACTGTTGTTGCCAAAATGAAAGTAAAAATTTGAGAAAATTGGACGCTTTTATATCGAATTTGTTCATAAAATGTCACATTTTGAAGAGTTATTCGTGTAATTTGATTAATCCAGATTTTTCAAAATATAAATTTGAAATTAAAGCAGTAATCGAACGATCTCCAGTGAAATTACGCAAATACTGTGACAAAGTAACAGTTATTGATACTCCAAGACCCAAAAAATTCAATTTTAAAGGATATGAAATTTTTATTTATGAAAAAAGGTTTGAAATCTTATGTAATCCTACTAGAATTTATAGTTATGATCCAAACATGCTGTTTTACAGTCCAAATATGATTATTTTCATTCAAGACAAAAGAATTTTCAAAATTTCAGAAGAAATTGAAGCAAAAGAAGTAACTTATGAACTTTTCAAGTATTACACACCTATAAGTTTTGTTATGTATGAAGATTTTGTCATTTGTCAGTGCAAAAACCGAATTTTAGTTTTTGATTCCGAAATTAGTTTTTTAATTAACGATTTATCACTGGAAAATATAAGAATTGACTCTTTCATCATATTCTTTGATAAGATAGACTATGTTGCTCTTACATGTTCCAATCAAATCTATGTTTCTCCGTTGACAGAACCTGCTTTAATTTTGCATTCAAAAATTGATACAAAAAGTGTCAAAATTTACGATAAAGAGAAACATATTTTTGTTGCAAATGATTTATATACAGAAATATATACATATGAATCATTTCTTTCTCACGAAAAACCACTTTTTACGATCAAAAAACCGAAATTAGTTCCTGAAGTCTTCATTCCACAGATATCATCATTTTTATTAGGAATTGAAAATAGGGATGGCTTTTATCTGTTTACTTTTTACGAGCAAAGAGTATATATCAGGTTTTTTGATGCAAAAAATTTTGAATTAATTTCATTTGACGAAAAATTTGTTTTCAAGAGCAAATGTTATGAATGCGAGATTGATACGAAGAAGTTGATTAGTTGTGTGTTTAGAAACAAGAATTATTTGAATCCTTATCCAAATATTTTCAAAATTCCAGAAAAAGAAGAAATAATTTGCAAGAAGAACCAAACTATTAAGCCAAGAACGAAAGATATTTCATTAGTATACTTTGAAAATGAGAAAAAAAGAAATACAGTGATAATTAACTCGAAAAAAGTTTTTTATTTCGAAGAAAAGTTCCAAATGATTGTTTTGTCTGAGAATGAACTAGATACAATCGAAAGTATCAGAAGTATTACTTGTTCTTGTCGAATTATGATTTTTAATTATCAATTTCGAAACAAAACTGTGAATTTTTATCTTCCTTGTGATAAAATGAATTTCCAATGCAATGTTTCGAGTTTGATTGACCACATGAGTCTCTGTTTGAATGCTGTGTTTAAAGTTCCTCACGTTCTCAAGAAAAACATACAAAAACTTTCAAAAAGTTTGTGCAAAAATGACTACTTTTACCAGTTCCTTTTCAAAGTGATCGAATCTGACTCTGATATACCGAAAGAAGTGGAAAAAGAAGTTGCTTATCACTGCTTACCAAATGGAAAATCTGAAGCTTTTTTGAAGTGTTTTTTAGAATAATAAAAAATATGTATTGTTCGTTTATTTTTTCATACATTCAATTGTTTATTAAGGGTGCACTTACACCTGAATGGCATGGCTTTCAATTCTGGTCTTTAAGCTTAATTTTCAATTACGCTTCACACCAATTGTCAGAAATTTGAATTAAAGTCAAATACGCAGAATTTTGTGTGTTACATATTAAGTTCTGTCAAAATGTAAGCTATTGAATTTTTTGAGAGGGAAATAATCGTCGAGGAAGTAAAAAGTGACGCTTTAGGAAATATTATTAGAAATATGATAATAAATATATTTGGAAAAAATATGTTTTTTTCAAAAATTGAAATGTTCATAGAATATTTTGAAATATGTAGGGAATTGAATTCGGTAATATATGATAAACAGGATTTTTAAATTTCAAGGAAAAATAGCTTTTGTGAATACTTTTGAGAACTCTTCTCAAAGATCATGATTCAAATATATTAAGGAGCCAAAATATTAGAGATGAGTTCACAATCAAAATTTTACATTTTAATTATTTAGAAAAACGTATTAACCTCAATAAAAAAATATCTCAAAGATTAATAGTTAATTTAGGGTTTCCTAGCTATCTAGAGGGAATTGTTCCTTATGATGTATATATTTATAATGTATGCATCATAAGGAACAATTCCCTCCTTAAAACGAGAAAACTTGTTCGAAATTGTTTATCATTTCGAACAAGTTTTCTCGTTTTTAATAACAAACTAAAGGCTATGAGGCACTGATTATATATTAGTGCCTCATAGCCTTTAGTTCCCTCTAGATAGCTGGGAAACTTTCTCCAAATGATAAGTTATTTAGAGAAAGTTTCCCAGCTATCTAGAGGGAATTGTTCCTTATGATGTATATATTTATAATGTATGCATCATAAGGAACAATTCCCTCGCTGAAGTGAGAAAACTTGTTCGCAATCATTTCGCATTGCGAACAAGTTTTCTCACTTTTAGTAGGGAACTAAAGGCTATGAGGCACTGATATAAGGTCAGTGCCTCATAGCCTTTAGTTCCCTCTAGATAGCTGGGAAACTTTCTCCAAATGATAAGTTATTTAGAGAAAGTTTCCCAGCTATCTAGAGGGAATTGTTCCTTATGATGTATATTTATAATGTATGCATCATAAGGAACAATTCCCTCGCTGAAGTGAGAAAACTTGTTCGCAATCATTTCGCATTGCGAACAAGTTTTTCACTTTTAGTAGGGAACTAAAGGCTATGAGGCACTGATATAAGGTCAGTGCCTCATAGCCTTTAGTTCCCTGTAGAAAAGATCGAAATTTTATTCTGATTTTAACTGATCTATATTTCGCTTGCGTTATTTGAATCTTTTCTTTTGCATATGTCATTCCTTTCACTTTTCGAATTTCATTTGCCTGCATGCTCTCTCGTTTTGGTTGAAAATCAACTCAATCTTAAAATGAACTTCTTCATTCTTTACAATAAATTCAATTTTTTTCGAGATATATCTTTATCTACCCCTATGTGAGCTGCATATTCTTTCTCGCTAAATTCTTTTGATCCTTCAGAGCTAAAAATCAAGTTTAATAAAAATAATGTTTATTCATAATTTTGAAAACCAAATTCAAATTTGAATGAGAATTTTTGAAAAAAATATAGTATATTTCAATAGTTCTATGTGTCAATTCGCTCAGCGAAAGCTGAGCTAGCTTCGTTCTCGAAAGAATAGGGAAGGAGTGAAAGAGAGTGATACAGATGTTGACACATTCATATCATTTCAACAAATTTTGATCAAATTGAAATTCAATGAAATTCAATTCACTTCATATCCTTCAGTTAGTACATTGACATCCTTCTACATCACAATGATAACTCGTGCATCAATAGTTCTACAACTAACTCAGAAAAAACAAGATTTTTCCTTCCAGCTTACAGCTTTTAAAAAGTTTCGATGATAAAAATCACTCTACTCTTGTTTATCGATATGTTGTGATAGTAGGTAAACGTATTCTTATCGATATTAATAAAATATTTTTACGAAAATCTGAACCAATTACAGAGTTATTCATAAAGTTTATGATAACTGTAATTACTTCATCTTTGTTTTATATTTGAATAAACAATTTAATTTAATTTGCATAATTTTTTTTAGTTGAAAGACAGGAAACTTAGTTGAGTTTGTATTATTTTTATCGTTCAATTCATTGTATATGTGAGTGATCCAGATATTTAAGATATTTAGAAAAAATTTATTAATTTGATTAACAAATTTTAATCAAAATAGCAAAAATATATTTGATAGCTGTAAGCAAATAATAATTTCTATTTCAAGCAAAATCACTTATTTTCATCTAAACGTATAAAATTGTCAATTTTATGAGAATAAATTTAAAATCTCATGAAATATAAAGGAGAGTAATATTTTTCAATTTTCTTTTTTCTTTCTCTCAAATATTTTCTATTGGGAATTTTCTTGTTATCAAAAATAATTTTAATATTTGTTTATTTCATTACATACAATAAAATTTTAAAACTCTATTTCTTCTCAAGAAAATTTTTTTCCTTCATATGAAGAAACATTTTGTTCTCCATTTGATACTGAGTCTAAATCTCGATTTTTGAATTTTCTTCTTTCCAAATTTCTTTTTTCCAAATTAGAAGTTTAATTCAAAATTTCAATAGTTTATATATTTTCTCAAACCGTCTCAGATTTTCTCACTTTTTAGGGATTTTCTCTCAAAATATACAAAAATAGTAATATCAATACATGTGTCTAATATACTTTAAAACTATCGTGACAAAATTCAAAAACGAAGAGTTCTTCTCTCCAAATTTTTTTCAAAATCAAAAAAATGAGATAAAAAAGTACGTTTGGAAAATTCATTTTTAGCATTTTAGGAATTTTCTCACTTTTCTTCCAAATTGACATCCTTACTCACCACTTTCAAGTTTTTCATACATATATCTTACCCATTCATTTGGAATACGAGGTCTCGAGTTTTCGTTCATTTTTTTTACTTTACAAAACTGTTTATTTTTCAGAATTTTTAAATTTGAAAAAATCCATTCTATATCTGATACATAATATATTATTTTTCAATCAAAATATTTTGATTATCATCTCAAAAGTGTTCTCAAAACCTAGTTTTTCTTATTTTGGATAATCTTAATATTTATATTATTATAAACTAATTGAACACCATATGTTTTTGTATACTTTTACAAAAAAATTGATAGATTTGTGATACTTCCCCCGACGATAGAATTGAATAGCTTACATTTTGACAGAACTTAATATGGAACAGTAATTCTATCTTTTCACTGAATTTTAATTTGGATTAAAAATTAGTCAAAAATAAAGTTTCCACTCAATAATACACTATTATTTCCATTCAAAGGTCCAAGGTATGATATATCTGAACCATACGAAGTTACTTTGGATCCCGGATATTATCGTTTTGAGCTTTGGGGCAGTAGTGGCGGATATTATTCAAGTTCATCCAATCCTGTAAACGGATCCTACGTTTCAGGCGATATTATATTAGATGAAGTGAAAAAATTCTATATATATGTTGGCCATGAAGGGATGCCACATTGCAATACATATGTTTATGGAGGAGGTGGTTATGGTGACTTAGGTGGTGGAGGTGCCAGCGATATTAGACTCATAGGAGGTGAGTATGGTAACTTTTCTTCATTAAAAAGTCGTATAATCGTTGCAGGGGCTGGTGCTGGGAGCGATACTGCTGGGATTGGAGGTCCTGGTGGTGGCCTGATAGGCATGAATGCATCAAATAACAAGTCTACTGGCGGTACTCAGACACAAGGAGGGTATGGAATTGTCAAAGGCACTTTTGGTTTTGGTGGCGGTTTTCATGCAGAAAGAGATGGGAGTGGATCTGGCGGTGGGGGCTATTTTGGCGGCGGCTCATCAATTGCATATAGGAATGAAGGTGGAGGTGGTGGAAGTAGCTATATTAGCGGTCATCCTGGTTGTATTTCCGTCCTAGAAAATTCTACATCTCAAAATGAAATTTATTTTAGCCAGGAAAATAATCCATCAATTCATTATTCAGGAATAAGGTTTGTAAAAACACTGATGATTGATGGTAGTAGCGAAATGATGTCTCCTTACAACAAGATGGAATCGCATGGACATTTTGGGAACGGATTCATCAAAATTACAAGATTTTCATGCAATGCTGTTTCATGCAATTGCCTATTTAGAAATTATTATCAGTTTAATATTATTTTGATTTCTGTATTCATTTTAATGTAAAATCATATTTTTCTGGAATTTATTAAATCTTTTTCTCTTAATGAGACTTGGCTTTCAGAACAACTGTAAACTATTAGAATATGCGAATTATTATATATTTTGGTTCTGGAAGTAAAAAAAAATCAGGAATTTTGATATTTCTCCAATATTACCAACAAAAATATACCACTGAGATATTAAATTTGCAACTATACGCATTTCTCATACGGAAGCATATAACCATAATGTATATCATTAAAATTACTTTATACCCAACGTTTGTAAATATCTCCGATAATTATCTCACAACTCATAATTCTTATTTTATATATGAGCAATGATAGTTCAAAGGAGAAATATGAAATAAATTCAAATATAAGCCAATGTAACAAGTTTTGTGGAAGAATTTACACAATCTTGTTCGTGCAAAAAGTTTTAGAAAGGTTGAAACTAAATTAATAGACATTTTAATTTAAATAATTAACATTTTTGCTGATTAGTGTACAAGAACAATGTGAAACTGGTGACTTTCGTCATACTATAGTCCATATGCAAGCATTCCTACAAAATGCAAGTAATGCTACCTACTTATTCGGTAATCTAAATTCAAAATGATCATCCTTTTTCTCTGAAAAATCAAATTTTGATTATTTATTGACAACCAATTTATTTATGCAATATTAATTCTTGATGAATTCTGAAAGATTTTTGAAGGATCGCTTAAAAATTGAATGGACTTAAATTGTAATTAATCACATATGAACAGTATATCTGAATTCAAAAAATTTAAAGGTAGATTTTGATTCAAATGAATTCAAAATATTGAAAGAATTACATTTGTATTTTTATATTTCGAGTATTACATATTAGATGATATGCAAGATTACGAATTTTGTCGGCTCATTCAATTTTTCTTAAATGTTTTTTGTGTTTCTTGGGCTACTTTATGGGCAACCCAAGCTAGGATTTACTGGAACAGATACTGTCCAAGCACAGGAAATCGATTCCTTTGAGATTCTTGAAACAGTTACAAAGCCAGCATCTGTCAAACATATAAAAGAAGCAAAATTTACGAGTACAGTCATTGATGATGATGCTTACTTATGGCCAAAACATGATGCTAGAGTTTCCAACTCCGTTTTAGAGGAAGAACAAAACGCAATTACCTCTCATTTTTGTAAAGTCGATCCATTATTAACGCAAGATGACTTGTATTACCATCCCGCAGGCACAAAACAATTTTACGGTGATGATTCATTAGTTTCAAATGCCGAACGTTACAAAGCTAAGATTTTTATCGATACAAGATATAACGTGCAGCATTGGACAGGTTTTTACGCACCTCCAGGTGAACTAATCACTGTTGAGATACCAGATAAAGCTTTAAATCGTATCAAAGTAGATATTAATGTTATCACAACAAGTAGATCATACAATTACAGAAGAGCAGACCAAACTTCATGCCGAACCGATTATATCAACACCACAGTTACTAAGTTTGGATGGCCTTACGGTGGCGCTATCGACTTTTTCATTCCAATTGATTCATTTCCAGAAGGATTAGAAGTTAATATCTCCAGCGTCATTAAAATGCCATACTTTAGATACGGTGCTACAACAGAGGAAGAGTGGAACGACAAAATCAGTAAGTATCCAGCACCTTTGGCCGTATTTGACACGGGATCATTGCATATTACAGGACCAAGTACATTTGTTCGCCAAAAGAAGAATCTCAATGATGTTATGGCAATATGGCGTACAACAATGCAGATATTCATTCATCAACTCCAAGAAATGATGGAAGAATTAAAAATCCAATCCACTGTTTCTTCGATGATTATTTAAAGAATGATCCTGGTGTAAATGGTATTGCATTCCCATGGTCCAATTACCTTGTCATTCCTCCAGATCAATTCGAAAAAACCGCTGATTTGACATTTTCGCAATGGGCGTGTCACGTTTTCATTCATGAGATTGCACATCATTTCCAGCACAGAATGAATTTCCTTAGTGATATAGAAATCACTAACAAACACCTTATTTATCTCCCTTATTCCGTTTGGGCATTAAATGATGGAACAAGACAACCAACATTCGAAGGAGAAGTTCAGGTTCAGAAATATATTGATGCTGAATTTACTTGTTACAACGCAATTGTTACTCCTCCTGAAAACCCAAGTGTTTCTTCAGTTGAATTCCCTTATTATTTCGCTTCATTCAAAAGATTTTATACTATTTTGTTTTATAGTGTTGGTCTTCATGTTTGGAGAGAAGCTCTTCACGCAAGATGTTATGAAACATATTATACAAAAGAACAATATGGAAATCTTGGTCAAATGATTTTAACATTTTCAAAAGTTTGTAAATTCAATATTCTTCCTTTTGCAAAATCTTATTCATTTTTCGATTGGACTTTAGCAAAAGGTAGATATGAAGAAGAACTTCAAAGACTTGGTCTTCCTGAATTCCATCCTGTTTGTAATATTTATCAGACAGGATATGTACACGACAACAAAGAAGTTGAAACAAGTCGTCCATATCAAATCATTGCAAAAGAAAAATATGTTTTTGATTTCAAGAAATTTATGAGAACTAAATCAGGAATGCATGATTTTGAATTCGATTCTGTTGAAGAAAAAGAACTTCAAGGAACATTAACTTCATTAGGAGATGAAAAATATGAATATAATCCTCCTGATCATGATGCTGTTGAAAAGATTTATGCTGTTTATAAAGATAAAACAACACAATCTAAAACAAAAACAATTGTCAGATTCAGACAAATCTACAATGGAACTAAATTGTATTTCAAAGTTCCAAGTGATGATTTTCTTTCAATCCAAAACTATTATCAAGAATTTGTTCCATTTGAAGAAGATAAGTATCATGTTATGTTTTCAAATGATGCAATGAGTATTCCAGAATTTGATGAACAAAAGAACTCATCTAGAACATTGATTTGTCTTGCAGAAGGAGCATATTTTGCACCTAAGACAGCTAAATACAAATTCTTCTTCAGCACAAACAGGAGATTCTTATTTTATATGAGTCAAAATCCATTCAGAAACACAATAGAAGAAGAGACTGACACAAGAAAATGGATAGGTTCAGCACAGTATCAAGGATTCAACACAAGAAATGGATTTAATATTTATCTCGAAGAAGGCAAGAAATACTATTATAGGATTGTAATTATGGATGGCTCTGGTGCACCAACGATTTCAACAAAGTATTATTTAAATGATGATTCTTCCAAATGGTATGATGTTGAAGGAGAATTTTCAAGATTTAGTCATTTGGATCTTGAAGACAGAAGTTCATATGTTTTCACTCCAGAAATAGAAAACATTCCTACACTTGGAATTTATTGGGATGAAAGAAACATCAGATACACATCAAAGATATATAACTTAACATCTAAACCTAATTTAGATAACAACCAAGATCTTTCACAAACTATTTTCGAAGTTAATAATGAAGAAAATGATTGCAAATCTTCATCATCATTCCCAATTTCATATAAATTCACTTCTTTCACTAAAATTAGAGTTGACAAAATGATGATTAAAAGTTCATCAGAAATGGATTCAGATATTGAAATCATTTGTGGAAAAGAAATTTGTTATGACGGTAAATATAACTCAGAAGAACCAAATATTACGTTGATTAAAACATATGATGTTAAAGAATTCGAAATCAAAGTTAAAAGTAATTCTAAAGGATCTTATTCATCTATCTGTACGATTGTTCCTTTGTTCTTAATCTCAGATTCACGAAACATTATTCCATCAACACACACTAAATTTGTTAAAGAAGGCGAAGCAGAACTAACAAAACATGGATTGTATTACAACGGCAAAGGATTTCATATGAAAGAAGGTTCATCAATCAAGTTCACAGTTTCATTTAACGAAACAGGAAACAGTGTTGGTTTTGTTGGTGATAAATCAGTGAATGGCGGAACATTCGATGTCTTTGTTGATGGTAAATTCAACTGTCGAATCAACACCAGTGTCTTCCTTTCTAACGAACTGAGATGATTGACAGGAAACAAGTTCTATCAGTCACCTCTTGGAGGAATCAAAAACTTTGTCAGCAAATCAAAACATTCATTTGTTTTGAAAACACAACAAAGCCAACAAGTGAAGAAAATGGACCTAATAATCTAGATAATGGAAAAGCTTCGGTTGCTGTCATTGCTGGATCATGTGTTGCTGCAGTTATTGTTGTTGGAGTTATTATTGCAATTGTCATATTTGTTTTTATTCGATCACCAAAACCAGGCTACCAAACTGCAGACACAGAACCAGCAGCAGAAGACTGTGATCTGTAATATATAATTTATTATCTATAATTTATAATTTCTAATCGATATATTTGTTTAAATAAAGATAAATGTTATCTTTCAACAAAATCTTATAAAACAAAGATGATTCATAAAATTTAACATATAGAAAAGTATTCTAGATAAATATTTGAAATCAATGGGCCTGTTCATGCGGTAACCAGTGGTATAATTCACCTTGAAGATATTACACTTTTCACGTATTTTGTGTTTCCAATTCTATCGTACATATTTGTGAGGATTGGAAGTTTTTTTTACATTAAAATTTTTGTGTGTCAAAAATAAAGTAACTGATGAAAATGGTTCAAAGAGATTTTATTGTTTTCATCTATATTTAAAAAAATCATCAATAGATCGGTATTTGAACCAGAAAAAATTTTTGAAACGTTACAAAAATTTTCAAGAATTAAGTCCTTTCGCTATAGCCGAAATGTTCTATTGTTTATTCTACAGAAAATTTATGTATATCGTATTTTTTGAGAGAATACTTCACTTTTATCAATGCTTTCATCTGTAGGATCCAGATTTGCAGCAAATGTATTACTATTCAACTGCTCACCAAGATCCAATAACAATACAATGAAGCTTCTTAAAGAAGTTGCTCGTGGCGTCGAGTCTGTTGGCAAAACAGCCGAAATTGTTCAACTCAGTAAGCTGAAACTCAAACCATGCCAATCTTGCCTTGAATGCAAGAGGCCAAACTCTCCAAATCGCTGTGTTATTAAAGATGGACTTCAGAAGTATCTTGATCAACTTCATGAAGTTGATGCATTCGCAATTGGCTCTCCAATATACATAGGTAACCCAAGTGCCTACTTCTACTCCTTCATTGAGCGTGCCATTTACAGTAACTTCATGTATACAAAGACACCAAGCAAATTCGGCAGAAAAATCAAGACAGGACTTGTCTTTTCAATGGGTGCATCAAAGGAAACGTTCGAGAAAACTTACTGGCCAAAATATCAACATATCAAGGACTACATGGAATTAGTTTTTGGTCCATGTGCTGGAATTGTTACTAACTGCACACAAGTCTTAACACCGAAAGCAAACATCGACTATGAGATGCCCCTCTTTGATATGGACTTAATCAACAATTACGTCAAAGAACATGATCCAATTGAATTGAAGAAGGCTTTTGACCTGGGTGTTAAGCTTGCTTCCAAGTAAATACAACTACTTATTCATATAATAAGTAAAAAAAAGTTTTTTATGAAGTTTACAATTTTATATTAAGGAAATTTTATGTAAAAATAATTCTTCATTCACAGCAAGATGTTGTAAACAAATAGACATCTTATTGCTTTTTTAAGATTAAATTAAATTGTAATAAACCGATTTTTATGAGGTTTACAATTTTATATTCCTTTATTCAGGGCTAAGTCGAGGAACCATTTTAACTTCATTGCTCCAAAAAATCAATAACCAAATTGGAATAATGGATGGGGACCACAATACAAGAATTGATGCATCAAGAATGGGCAGAGTTTTTCCCAAATTCAGAACAAGGTTTAAAATACTCTTCTAAAAGTCAAAAACTCAGTTCAGAAGATCAAAGCTATTATATTAGCCTTTGTAATTTTGGCTCATTACTCACAGAAGGTGCCATTAACTTTACGACTTCGAAAGATACAACAAAAACTCTTATTGAAACAACAAATTTTAATAACTGCACTAATACTAAAGGAAGAGGAGGAAGTTTATACTTCGCTCCAGAAGGTCAATGCGTCCAAAATCGAATTTGTAGTTTAAAATCTAAATCTACTCATGGGGATATGTATTGTTATGTTGATGTTAGTGGCCTTCCTTTATGTAAGAATTTTATTCTTAATTCTTCGTTTACTGAAAGTGGGCATTTGCAAAATCTTGAATCAGGACATATTAATCTAAAAAATGGAGAAGTTGAAATAAAGAATATAAATATTTCGTACACTTCTGATTGGCATGGTAGCTTATTCAGCATTTACCTTTCTAATTCTTCATCTGGAGTATCATTTTCATCATTTAGTAATAATACAGATAGTTATCTATCAGCATGGGCTTATTATTTTTATTTCGATGATTCAATTGGAACATTAATGATTAAGTTATGTAACTACATAAATAACGATATGCATGTAATAGTAAGTGCTCATGATACATATACTAATCTAATTTATTGTAATTTTATCAATAACACATTTAGAGCTTATTATTTTGGTCAAAGGGGTTCACATAATATTACAATTGAAAGATGTTACATTGATAAAAGTAACCCTAGAAAAACGGGAAAAGTTTACTACAAAAGCAATGCACAAAATCCAATAGAAACAATTGAATTTGATATTCCTAAATCAATGAATGAAGAAAAAAATGAAATAAAATATTTAAACATAAAGAAAAAAATTATTAAGGCTCCGGTCCTGCATGATTGCTGCATATACTTAGGACGAGTATCTAATAAGGAGTAAAAATATACCAATAGATTGCACATATACCAATATTTTGTAAAAATTAAATATTATCTATTTTTAAAATTTTCGAATTTGACTATATTATCGTTTTAAACATGATATATACTAACTTTACTATTTGATATATGATAAATAATGATATTTTAAAAATTGAAAATTTGGATTTTTAAATTCACAAAGTATATAGTATAGTAAATTCATAAATGAGTATAATGCGCCCAATTATAACAATTTTCAATCATTTGATAATTCTATGACTATGGATTTTTGTACTTCTAATTAAAATAATGTCACTTTTTAATATACTGAGTTTAAGGTTTAAATTTAATTTAAAAAATCGATTTGTTTATACATATTGGAAAGGAATTTTTTGATAATATCTTTTGTATATTAATACTTTATGACTTATACTATGTCACCATAATATAAGTTCAAATTTTTATCATGCACATCAATATAAAATTGTAATTCAAAAAACACCTACTTCTATCGTCAAAAATCCTCTCAATTTGAAAAAAATACATCAAAAATATCAAATTTGCAAACCTAATTCTTCGAAATACCGAAGAAGGTAGAATACACAAATAGTGTCCATAGAAACTATATAATTTTCTTTACAAATTGTCGAAGGGGAACTGAGAGTTTTTTCTTATACGTTGAATTATAAATCAAATTATTGAATGGATTTTTGGAAAATTGAATACTCAATTATCGAAAAACCGTTTTGACAAAAAGTGATTAATACAATATTGTTGCCTATATTAAGTAATTATCATATATGATTTTTATTATCATATCAATTAATCGTGCATGAAGTTATTCTCGACGCAAAAATGGTTTTTTATAGGGGTCTTGCAAACCTAATTCTTCTTTCATATATTTTTTTAGAAGCAAACTCACTATATCAAAATAAACTTTAGTTGCATTCTAACAATTTGTCGAAGGGGAACTGAGAGTTTTTTCTTTATTATCAAGATATGACAAAAATGTTAATATACAATTTTTTAATATTCGACATATATAGCGATAATGTAATATTATATGATTTTATTATATTTTGATAGCATATATAAACCTTATCATATTATTAAAACTTTGACAAATCAAAAATCTTTAGATTCTGTCAAAAAGTGATTTGTCAGATTTTTTCAAAAAAACAAATAACTCATCTAGAAGAGATTGAAAATCAAGTTTACTAATAACAATATAATGTATCACTAATATGCTATAAAATGTCGTGGGCTTTTTTGATAATAAATAGTTTTACCGGTCAAAGTTGAAATTTGTCAAAATACCGAATTCTCAGATAAGATGAACTATAATAGTAATACTCAGTTTAAATATACAATACTATAGTGTATTACATAATGATATTATATACTAAAATAAAAGTATCAAAAACTCATATTGGTGGAGATATTAAAACTTTTAAAATTGAGAGGGTGGGACCGGAGCCTTAAAAAATTTAAAGGGGCACGCTTGAATAATTTGCATTTTTGGTAAAAATAAAATCATTAAGGATATTTATTTTTAATTCTGAGATGTATTATATTCACTACTATTTTTAATGCATGCATTACATAAGTTTTATTCTCTGTACTATAGTGTAAGTAATTGTGTGTATGTAAAAAAAATTTTTTTTATAAAAAGTATCAAGTATGTTTCGTTGAAAGATCAGCACTTTATAGTATGGTAAGTCAGTAATTTTATACCTACAATTTGCTTATGTGGATATTTTGAGTATTTCTGAAAATTTAAAAGCTAATAAATGAATTTTCGCTAAAATTGATCCCAGTTTATGAGATTTCTTTTAACTTGATTGCAATAATGCTCGTGTAACATGGATATTAGCCGATAGAGTGTAAATTTGAAATTAGATTTTAACTTAATTGCATGAAATTTAAACATGGATCATGCAGAGGTTTACTATACATGCCGAACTATATGGGCGGCAAGAATTGCAAAGCCGAGCATATTGTTGCTAATAAACCATTAAAAAAATGATGTAAACTATTCAAAATTAAATACTTACGTCTTTTGTCTCGCAGTTTATTATTTTTATCATAATTCTTCTAAATGGTATGATATTGAAAGAGAAAAATCAAAATTAAGTCATTTGAATCTCAAAGATAAAACGACTTTTGTAAAAAAATCATTAAATGATAACGATAATTCATTTTCCTTTTCAGATATATTGTTTCCATGGTTTCTTTTTTATAATGTATGTTTTCAAATTTTGATGTAGAATTTCTGAAGTTTACAATTTTACTTCACTCGTTTTCGTTTCGAGTCGAAGAACGAAATTAGAATCATTAGTTCAAAAATACAATCGATATCATGAAATGATAAAAGAAGAAGATAATAGAAGAATTGATGCATCAAGAATGGGGAGAGTTTTTCACAAGTTCCGAACAAGGAACAAACTACTCTCTAAAAATCAAAAAACTTAATTCAGAAGATCAAAGCTATTACATTAGCTTTTGTAATTTTGGTACATTACTCACAGAAGGCGCTATTAACTTTACTACTTCGAAAGATACCACGAAAACCCTTATAGAAAATACGAATTTTAATAATTGTTCTAATTCGAAGGAAACTGGAGGAAGTTTATACTACTCTAGGAAAGGTGAATGCGTCCAAAATCGAATATGTAGTTTAAATTCTAATTCTGCAAAAGGAAATATGTATTGTTGGGTTTGTGTCAGTGATCTCTCTGAATATAAGAATAAAATTCTTAATTCTTATATTTTTCAAAGTGGAAATATGTTTAAAGATAAAGATGGAAATGTTCGTCTAAGAAACGGAGAAATAGAAGTAAATTCAATACTTATGGCAGTTTATTTGACATCTGGTACTACAATTCTCCATCTAAAGTATCATTTTCAACGTTTAGTAATAATACTGATACATTTACTACTGGTTGGTATATCAATTTTTGTCGCGATTTTTTTGATTCATCACAAACATTATTGATAAAGTCATGTGACTATTTAAGTAATAATTTATATTTAATTATAATCTCTAAAGAAGCAATTGTTAACGTCGCAAATTGTAATTTTATCAATAATACAGGAAGAAATAGTTATTTTTATCAAAGTTCTTCAGGTTCAGGAAATATTACAATTGATGGATGTTACATTGATGAAAATGATATTAGAATACATAGAACAGTTATTTTCACAAACATTGTTACAAATCCAATCAAAATAGAAATACCACATCTGTCATGTGCATTTGATATTCCGAAATCAATGAATGAGGAAGAAAACAAAATCATGTATTTAAACAGAATTAAAAATCTTCATTTTTGGTTCTTTGAATCATTTTTTATTTCTCAATTTAAGTAAATATTAACGTATTTCATAAATTAAATTTGCCAAATTATTTTTGAAACAGATCAATAGAAAAATCGAAAGATATATGAAGTATATGCTAGCATTTTGGGAAAAGAAAGTTAAATACAGATTCTTCTTCAATGAAAACAGATAATTCTTGATCTATAAGAGATAAGATTATATAAGAAATACGATAAAAGTAGAGTCTGACATGTGCAGATATAATGACTGAATTTATCATTGATTCAACACACGAAATTGATTTAATCTAAATCTTGAAACAGGTCATAAACTATTTTGGAAGATAGTGACAAATATTACATTGATTAAAACATATGATGTTAAAGAATTCGAAATCAAAGTTAAAAGTAATTCTAAAGGATCTTATTCATCTATCTGTACGATTGTTCCTTTGTTCTTAATCTCAGATTCACGAAACATTATTCCATCAACACACACTAAATTTATGTAACAGAAGTTAAATATATTAAGATACTTTTATACTTTGTTACATAAATTTATATTGTGAATATGCCCTGGTGCCATTCATCTCAGAACTGAATGGCATTCAATGGAATTTTATCATAAATTGAATTATTTTCTGAAGTTTAAAGCTTCCAAACTATATACTTTCTACTGACTTTTGCTTCTAATATTAATGGATGATATAATTCTTAAGAAGAAAATATATTCTGATAAATCTTTTCCCATATAAATTCGAATGTTATCATAAGTGAAGCTATCATACGTACTATTACTTGTACAACTTACATGAACTCTCATATTTACCTTTCGTAACTAAAGGCTCAATCAGTATGCCTAAAAATTCTGAAGTTTACATTTTTACTTCCCTTTTTTCGTTTCGAGTCGAAGAGCAATTTTAACTTCATTACCTCAAAAAATCAGCAACCGATTTGAAATGAATTTAGAGAAATATAATACAAGAACTGTTCCATCAAGAATGGACAGAGTTTTTCCAAAATTCAGAACAAAGAACAAATTACTCTACGAAAAGTCAAAAACTTAGTTCAAACGATCAGAATTATTATATAAGTTTTTGTAATTTTGTCACAATGATAACAGAAGGTGCCATTAACTTTACGACTTCGAAAGAAACAACGAAAACTCTTATTGAAACAACAAATTTTAATAACTGCTCCAATACTCAAGGTTGGGGAGGAAGTTTATACTTCTCCACAGAAGGCGAATGCGTCCAAAATCGAATTTGTAGTTTAAATTCTAATTCTGCTAAATCATGGATGTATTGTTTTGTTGATGTCAGTAATATTGCTAAATATAAGAATAAAATAATAAATTCTTCTATTTCTGAAAGCGGAAATTTATATAAAAATAAAGAAGGAAATATTCATCTAAAAAAAAGAGAAATTGAAATAAATTCTATAAATATTTCTTATACTAATATATATAGTAATAGTTTATTTGACATAGGATACTTTAATTCTTCATCCAGAGCATCATTTTCCACATTTAGTAATATTACTGATACACATTCAGTTAGTTATTATGTTTATTTTACTCATTCATCAGAAACATTATTGATTAAGTCATGTAACTACTTAAGTAACAATTTCCATGTAATAATAAGTTCTTTTGATACATATGTTTATGTAGTTAATTGTAATTTCATCAATAACACAGGTAGAAATAAGTATTTTTATCATAATTGTTATGCTCCAGGTAATACTACAATTGATGGATGTTACATTGATGAAAGTAATCCTAAAATAGAAGAAAAAGTTTATTTCACAAACAATAAAACAAATCCAATCAAAATAGGTGAATTTGATATTCCTAAATCAGAGAATGACGAAGAAAATGAAATCATATATGTCAACAGAAAGAAAAAATTCTTCAAAAATCTTCATTTTTTGCTGTTTGAATCATTTTTTGTTATTTCTCGAAAGAAGTAAAATATATCAACATAATTCGATGTTTTTATATCTTTTGAAATCAAAATTATTATTATATCTTGAAAGAAGTGAAATATCAGCATAAATTGGCTCTGAATCAATATGTTATGATAAATCTTATTAAATACATCTAAGGATGCTAAGCAAATTAATTTATTTTGAAACTTCTTTATAATAACCGTAAATTTGAAAGTTGGTTTTCACAAATCTCATATAAATATAAGTTATGATCTAGCATAAATCATAAAGAAGTAAAAATTGATTACAAATAATATAGATTTATTGAACTGTAAAAACATAAGAAGGACCAAAAGTTGTATTGAAAAAGTTTTGTGACTTTCTGATAGCATTTGGATCTAAACTTGTTCTTGTTATAGACCGAAAATAGATTTTTTCGGTTTTCTCTTCAAATAATTGAAAGAATGATACTATTATAGGTTTATTATATTATATAGCATATAATCATGCTATAGCCAAAAATTATAAGTTTTGAGAAGATTGAATATAACACAAATAAATTTGAATGTAAGTTAAATTGCTTGTTGTTTTTAATAGCTATTTAATGAGAAATCCAATATTGCAAAATTCAAATTGAATGATTGAAAGAACAGAAAAAGTCATTCTTTTCAATTTCGAATATGTTTCATTGTATTTAGAATTATATGGCAAATAAGATATTTAAACTTGATTTTTGAAGGAAAATTCACAAAATTGAATAAATTCAAATAATTTTTATTCAAAAATAAACTAGTTATTTGAGTTTAATACTAATTATCTATTCAAACTACAAAGTTTGTAATTTAAAATATTTTGTGAGATCAGATTGAATTAATTCAAGGTTCTTTTCAATTAATATTAATGACCATATTACGCATTTTCGAACATTCTAAACCAAATATATAAAAATGGGAGACGAATGTTAAATTTGCTAGACATGGGGGAGTTGTCTGCAAAGTTTTAGCTCTTATCTCTAACAAAAAATTAATTTTTAAAAAAATGACCGAATACGTTTCACAGCGAGAAAAAAATAAAAGGCAAGATAGAATTTTCTAGACATAAAGAAGTTGTTTACCGAGTTTTAGCTCTTATCTCTAACAAAAAATTAATTTTTAAAAAAATGACCGAATACGTTTCACAGCGAGAAAAATATAAAACTCTACACTGATTTTAATTTTCATTTCCAGTCACTTTACTTATTATTTTTTCTTTTTTTCATTTTAATTATAAATTATTTCATAATACGTTTATTTACGTTACCATTTTCTTTATTCTTTTGAATTCCATACTAGACACTTATAGAATATTTTGATTGTTAACGTACTTCATTAGAATGAATCCTTACAAAGGGTATGTCGATCGAATTTACCTAATTGGTATTTCCAATCAGATTGAAGAAGGTAAAATGACATGGGAAGAAGCTTGCACCCATGTTCCCATCACCCCAACCCTTCAATCAAATGATTTCAAATATTTAGATGTTTCAAAATCTTTTTTACAAAATCAATTTAGCTTACAGAATATCCCATTGCCTAAAGGCAAGAAAGGTCGTAGGGTCAATCCCTACGACCAAATCAAAGCTCTTGCTGTGATACATGACCACTGGGCCTTTCCCTGTGGTCAAACAAAACAATGGAAACGTTTGAAATTACAACAAATTGATGTATCTTATAGAGAAGTACGCAGATACTTCAAAGAAAATCATTTCACCAAGACGCGATTAGAGCATGCCGGGCCAGAAACAGCAGTAAGATATTGGGCGCTTTCACCCAATCTTATCTGGCACGCAGATGTTCATTATTTTAGGGGTGTTCGTGGCCAGTATATTTATGGCATAATCGACGATTTTAGCCGCAAAGTCCTAGCGTGTATACAAATACCAGATATGCTAGCAGCGACGACAGCGAACGTTGCGGCTTCCGCCTTCATTGAATTTGGCGCCCCTTATTGTTTCTGGACCGACAACGGTTCAGAAAATAGGGGCGCCTTTCAAGATCTACTTGATCTTTGGGGCGTCCAATGGCGGCATACAGACTCTCATTCTCCCTACCAAAATGGGATGATTGAGAGATTCTGGCCGACATTGGAGCGCTGCCAAAGCATTCAGGCTATTCCTGCCTTTATTTGGGAGTACAATAATAACACACCGCATGAAGATCTCCCAATTAATCCATTAACTGGAACAAATTACACGCCAAATCAAATGTATCAGCTGAAACCGAAATACACAAATGCAGATACAGAAAGGTTGTGGCAAATATGGGATACAGATACAGGCATGACGCTGTTGACACATTCACAGCGTAATAATAAACATAATTTTTTAATTTCATTTTAACAAGTTTTTTTAAATGTATGTAATGAATAATTCATTAGAATATGATAATGCACATTGTAACAGAATAGAACAATCACCAAATTTTTTTTGAAATTAAAAAATAAAAGTAAAAGTATAAAGTAATCTAACCAAAAAAAGATATTTAAAAGAATTTTGGAAAAAAACAGAATAAGGATAATGATATTATTTTAGATACACAATCGATGTACTGTGAATGAATCCGGTAAAATGATGATATAAAATTAGATTATTTTACAAGTAGCTAAAAGAATAAAACTATAATATAAAATAAATGAAGTTTAATGAAATGTAATAAACAGAAATTCATCAAAAGTGACAGCTCTCAATTTTTTGACATTTGTAAATTCTAAATTGAATGAGAAAAATGAAATAATACTAAGCATAATACAATATTCTAGATTTAATTATAATTAGGAAAAAGTTAGTTTTGAGAGTACTTTTCATAGGCATATAGAATGAAATCTTCTGAAAAATAATATCACATAAACTCATATTATTTTCTAATATATAACTATTTTATATAAAAATCAAATTCAATGATCTTAAAAGCGAAGGATAAACCTCAAAATTTACGAATATAATGAGTGGGAATATAATGCTTAGCTATCATAAAACCATATGAAATATCAATTTTATTTTTCATATTCAAATGGACTGAGTGTTAACATTTAACATTTTTTACTAATTGTCGTCAAAAATTAGGCGTAAAGCAAAAATTGATATTTCATATGGTTTTATGATAGCTAAGCATTATATTCCCACTCATTATATTCGTAAATTTTGAGGTTTATCCTTCGCTTTTAAGATCATTGAATTTGATTTTTATATAAAATAGTTATATATTAGAAAATAATATGAGTTTATGTGATATTATTTTTCAGAAGATTTTGTGTTCTTCTTCAAAATTTTATTTTTTTATTAAAAAGAATCTTTACAAAATATACATTTACTTTAATTAATATTTAAAAACGTGCTCTATCAAAAGTTCCAAAAATTCAATACTTTAGCTTTTCTGAGGTGTCACTTTTGATGAATTTCTGTTTACAACAGAAACAATAAAGGTTAAATAAATAATAAAGATTTTTATTTTATATCAGTATTGAGAAGAAGTAACAGCTGACACTTGGTAGACAACTTCTTTATGTCTAGAAAATTCTATCTTGCCTTTTATTTTTTTCTCGCTGTGAAACGTATTCGGTCATTTTTTTAAAAATTAATTTTTTGTTAGAGATAAGAGCTAAAACTCGGTAAACAACTTCTTTATGTCTAGAAAATTCTATCTTGCCTTTTATTTTTTTCTCGCTGTGAAACGTATTCGGTCATTTTTTTAAAAATTAATTTTTTGTTAGAGATAAGAGCTAAAACTTTGCAGACAACTCCCCCATGTCTAGCAAATTTAACATTCGTCTCCCATTTTTATATATTTGGTTTAGAATGTTCGAAAATGCGTAATATGGTCATTAATATTAATTGAAAAGAACCTTGAATTAATTCAATCTGATCTCACAAAATATTTTAAATTACAAACTTTGTAGTTTGAATAGATAATTAGTATTAAACTCAAATAACTAGTTTATTTTTGAATAAAAATTATTTGAATTTATTCAATTTTGTGAATTTTCCTTCAAAAATCAAGTTTAAATATCTTATTTGCCATATAATTCTAAATACAATGAAACATATTCGAAATTGAAAAGAATGACTTTTTCTGTTCTTTCAATCATTCAATTTGAATTTTGCAATATTGGATTTCTCATTAAATAGCTATTAAAAACAACAAGCAATTTAACTTACATTCAAATTTATTTGTGTTATATTCAATCTTCTCAAAACTTATAATTTTTGGCTATAGCATGATTATATGCTATATAATATAATAAACCTATAATAGTATCATTCTTTCAATTATTTGAAGAGAAAACTGAAAAAATCTATTTTCGGTCTATAACAATCTAAACTTGTTCTTCGCATTTTGCTAACTTCTTTGGCAACCAAATCGCGACTTGATTTGAAGCTCATTCTTCTCTTTAAAGCAAACATTTCATGAGATGATTGCTTGAGAGTAACAAATACTTGGTTATTCAGTATTTCGTCGATTGTCGGACGAAATGGAGCGTTGATTGACAGGCAATCTGCAATTAAAGATTTCATTTGTGGATCTTCAATCAATCCTTCCATGTAAACGCCACTCATTATCTTTTTAATAAGAAGATTTGGATCTTTGGAAGAAAATGGGTATTTTCCGGTAATAAAATAGAAAATTGTAACACCAAGACTCCATATATCAGCTTGCATCTTATCATATGACTTGGATCTAAAGACTTCGGGAGCGTAATGATTTCTTTGTGCGTTAAATGACTCGCTCATTGGATTCTTTGCATATAGAGATGATATTCCATAATCAGATATCTTAATTTTTCCATAAAAGTCCACTAAAAAGTTAGTTGGCTTAATTTCTTGATGTGCCACTTTTTTATCATGAACTGCTTTAACTGTTTGAATCATTTCGTAGATAATTTTGATTTTTTCTTCATATTTTATATTTAGCTTCTCTTTAAGGAAGGTTGTTAAATTTTTTGAAAGATATTCCCTTAAAACGTAAACATAGCCACCATATTTGTAATATTGATATACTTTTGCGATCTTCTGATTATCGTTTGCTTTCAAATCCTCGGTATCTTGGATCGAAAATAAAGATTCTGGGATTTTTTAAGGATAAAGTTGCTTTTGTATTCGGGAATAAAGACATCGAAAAGGTCACTTGTTGGAGCTTTCGATAGTTGGCCTTGAAATACAATTCCATTCTTCCTTAGAAGTTCAATCTCATTAGAATCCATTTTGTGATAATGGAAGTATTTGAGAAGATGATTGAATTTTTGAAATTGTTTGAAAATTTTGAAAATAACGAGCACAGTTTTAAGAGATTATTTAATCGAAACTATCGTTGGCGATGAAAAATAACGAGATAATTTAAATTGAATAGTAGGGAAAATAATATTAGCACATTCAGTATAGTTTAAAAAATCAGAGTTAACAAAAAAAGTGATTTTAATCGTATACAATTTATTCTTTTGAAATATTGAGAACTATAGAAGATCTTAAATAATTTGATATTATGAACCATCCATTGATAAAACAATCAAAACCTAATTTCCTTCGTAACGAATTTGAAAAAGTACTCAATAAAAAAATGGATAAAAATACTCAGTATAAAATCATATAAATTTCCAATCTTCAAAATATTTTCGAATTCAAAAGTGAATACAAATTCGTTGAGATATAAAAATTGCTCACATTTGCTCACATTTTGGCACTTTTTTTGTACGTTTGTCAAAAAATTGTGAGGAAGATCTCACAAAAATAGTCAAAATGTGAGCAAATTTTGAGAAGTGCTCACATTTTGACATACGATTATTTTCATACGTTTTTTTGATGAATTCTAATAAAACTTCATTACCACTTTCAGAACGAAGCGTAACTTTTCAGCACGTAACGCTCTATCATGTGTAGTGACATATTATTCAAAAAAACTCAGATTGCTTATCTTATAATAACAATTTCATTAGAAAAAATGCACGATTTCACGCTAAAACTTTGAAGCAATTCTTAAATTCGGATAAAAAATCGATATGTATTACACTTTAAACTTCAAAAAATGGTTCAAAATTTAGACTTAGTTTATCTTAACAATATAGCAGATTTTAAGCCGAACAAGTAGGAGTAATAGAAATAGCTCTTGAAAATAATTACAATTAGTAATATGTAAGTCAAAGTTCGAGTATTCTAATAAATAAACGTTCCGGATTTTCTTACTACAAGAATCAATACTTAATATATAGAAGCAACAGTAAAAACTTATTAGAGATTCAAAAAGAAAGTTGACTAAAGAGAATCTTTTTATATAAGTAATTTTATTTTTTTGAAATACGAGATCGAATAAACATGTATTTTATTTTATTACTATAATAATACGTTTTTACATAGTAAGAAAGTTTAGAGACTGAAATGAAATTAAAAATTGAGAAAAAAATAAAGCTTTTCTATAAAAATTCATATTAATATATAGTATATATGATATTACAATTTATTGATAGTTGTGTTAGAAAAAAGGTACATTCACTATTTTTGACAAAATTTTAAATTTTCATGGGGTTGTAAATCTTATAATAACTAGATGAATAAGGAATAAATCCAGTATGATGTGCATCATTATATTAAACACTATATGTAAGGCTGGTGATTCTATTAACACTTATGAAGATCTATAGTATTTGAGCAGATAAATTTGATAATTTCCAAAACTCTTATATTTCAAAATTAAAGTGTGCGAATGCATTTAAATGAGAGCAAAAAGAGATTGATGCTGTTAAAACTATGTGTTAATTTGCAATTATTTCGCATCACAAAGAACTACCCAGTAAATTCGGCTATCTTTCTTTGCAATTATTCTCCATTATACATATAATATAATGGTTAGGGTTTGAAGAAAAGTTACTAGAGAATTATTGACTTTTGAAATAATGCAGAATTTTTTGAAGAAATCATTAATTTATGAGTTCCAAATTGCTAAGCATGACGAAGGATCATTAAATTTGCTACAATTAAATACACTTATTGCAGAATTAAGATTTTTGAAATTAAAAGTTTGAAATATTGCCTTTTTGAATAAAAATTTAAATTTTATTATATAATCATGATAATATCTTATAGAAATTAAAAGAAAATATTTTAAACCATTCAAATATTTTGAATGTCTTATCAATTTAAAATATTAAAAGATAGCTTGATTTTATCATCATTAGTTGTTATCAAAGTTTTCTTCTTTTGATGAACAACAGTAAATGATTTGTTAATTACTTGTCTTCCTTTTTCGCAGCAAATCGAAAGTTATGATGATAATCTTGCTCTCAATTTTGAAACTCTCTGATTTACAAGTAAGCATTCCTTTGGAAAAGCAGTCCTATTCTGTTTTCAAGATATTTTAAAGCCTCAATTTCATACAATGCGCAGATCTATTCGAAATTGCAAGAACTCTCAAGAAAAATGCAGCAGCAAAGAAGATTCCATAGTTTCTAGCATCAAAAATTTACAACCTTAATACAACAGTTAAAGAGAAGCTCGAAAAGAAAATATTTAACCATAAAGCTGGAAACCATTCGATATCTACTATTGGATCTAATAAAAAGTTAATTATAACATATTTAACATGCTATTTGTTGACTTTGTTCCATTATATTACCATATATATCTTTTTGAAATCTAAAATATTTTTACAATTTTAACCATGTGTTGTTGAAACCATATATCAATCTTAGCTAAAGTATAGTTTATGAGTCTGTCACCATCTAACGTATGAATTTTCAAAAATGTCAAATATGTTCATTTTTTCTGTAGATTCAGCCATAATTTCAAGTTGTTATACTATTCAACTATTATTTAATATTTTTATCGATTTAAATATATGATGAGATGCTTAGTTCTCCTGGAAATCGATTTTTAATCGCAATTTTAACTTTCCAAAAAAAATTCAAAAATAAAAATCCCTCTCAATTTTCTAAGTTTTATAACTCGCCAAATCTCTAGCCAATTTTTTTTGGCCCGTATAAATATTGTTTGGCACTATATAGGGATGCTATTTATCCTATTTTCATCCCATTTTACTGTTATCGCCTAGTGAATGTACCTTTGTTAGAAAAAATATACAACTAAAATGTCAGTTTTAAAAAATTTAAAAATTATATTAAAACAATAGTCATTGAGGATGGTTAATTGCAAAAACTCAAGAAACTATCATTATCTCTCTTTGCTTAACACATCTACAACTGGAAACATCATTCCAAATGAAGTTCCTCAGTCTCGTCAAAATTTCTCTCTCATCTACAACAAGCTTAACTCAAAACTCAAGAAACTATCATTATCTCTCTTTGCTTAACACATCTACAACTGGAAACATCATTCCAAATGTTGCATTCAAGAATCCTATTATTATTATTCTTTCTTTCAATCTTTTATATTTACTCTTTAAATTCTAATATAATATAAATTCTTCATTTCCTTTGTTTAAACTTTTTTCATTTTAATACCATTTTATCAGATAGTAATTTTTGTTTTTCTCTGACCAAAAATCTTCTCAATTTAACTCCACCTTCACAAAAATTCATTGAGTTCTCTCAAAATTCTTGTATTTTTGGTATACTTAAAGTATCATCTTCAAATATTTTTTTGGAGAAAATTGACTTTGCATAATATCGTAATACTTTTTAAGGCAGATAGATTTACCGTAAGTTGAAGAACTTTTAATTTGAACAGAAATTATTCAACAAATATTCTTTTTATTTGATCAATAAATTGTAATATCATTATACTATATATTAATATGAATTTTTATAGAAAAGCTTTATTTTTTCTCAATTTTTAATTTCATTTCAGTCTCTAAACTTTCTTACTATGTAAAAAACGTATTATTATAGTAATAAAATAAAATACATGTTTATTCGATCTCGTATTTCAAAAAAATAAAATTACTTATATAAAAAAGATTCTCTTTAGTCAACTTTCTTTTTGAATCTCTAATAAGTTTTTACTGTTGCTTCTATATATTAAGTATTGATTCTTGTAGTAAAGAAAATCCGGAACGTTTATTTATTAGAATACTCGAACTTTGACTTACATATTACTAATTGTAATTATTTTCAAGAGCTATTTCTATTACTCCTACTTGTTCGGCTTAAAATCTGCTATATTGTTAAGATAAACTAAGTCTAAATTTTGAACCATTTTTTGAAGTTTAAAGTGTAATACATATCGATTTTTTATCCGAATTTAAGAATTGCTTCAAAGTTTTAGCGTGAAATCGTGCATTTTTTCTAATGAAATTGTTATTATAAGATAAGCAATCTGAGTTTTTTTGAATAATATGTCACTACACATGATAGAGCGTTACGTGCTGAAAAGTTACGCTTCGTTCTGAAAGTGGTAATGAAGTTTTATTAGAATTCATCAAAAAAACGTATGAAAATAATCGTATGTCAAAATGTGAGCACTTCTCAAAATTTGCTCACATTTTGACTATTTTTGTGAGATCTTCCTCACAATTTTTTGACAAACGTACAAAAAAAGTGCCAAAATGTGAGCAAATGTGAGCAATTTTTATATCTCAATTCGTTTTGCCTGTACTAAATCCAAAAATTATGTGGAGTAGCCAAATGATTCTACCGAAGTTTCCATAGAAGATTTCAAAAGAATTTGTGTGAGTCCTGAAAATCAACCACTATGCATATTATTAAAACTTGCCACAGCTAGAGAGATCACATATCGACCTGGTGCAACATTCCAAAACGTTTGTCCAAATAATTTGATCACAACTAATGATCATTTTGATATGGACGAAATCACTGATGGTCTTGGCAAAAGCAAGTCCTTTTCATTTTGTGTCTATTTCATGCATCAGTATGCGACAGCAAGAATTACTAACACTCTCGGTAACCAAAAAGTTAATGTTTATGACGGTACCTTTAAACAGTTAGCTTATAACGAGCATTTAGATATTACCATTCAAAGTGGTGCTGTGAAAGGAATGATGGTTGGCAGAGATAATTCAAATAATTTATTTTTTACATTTAATAATATACAAGGTAATCACGGTTGGCAGCAAATGGGAGATGAGAGAGTCTTACCACCAAGAACACCATTTGGCACTCCATTTTTCACACCAGAATATACATCTAAAGAAACCCCATTTTCTACAGCACATTCAACACCATATTTAACGGCATTCAGAACAGCATTTAGTACTCCTTTCAAAACAGCCTTTTCAACCCAACATTCCACTCCATTTTCAACACCATTTATGACATTTATAAAAACTCCATCACAGACTGACAGTTCGCAACCAGAACCAACATTAGAACCTCCAACTCCATCAGTTACTTCAGAAACTGAATCCAAATCTTCACCAAATCCTTTAATCCCGGTAAGAACCATTGAAACCACACCGGAAGCAACATGGGATGGTCAATATGACGATCCACCAAATGTTATTATTAGAGGAGATGATATTCCTGAAATTCATGAAACTCATCCTCCAATTCAGACAAATTTTATTAAAACAGATGTTCCCAAAAAGACAACTTACGTTAACGTATCAGTAGGAACAATTTTGATCGTGGTCGTCGTAACTTTGACTGTTGTAAACGTTGTTCGTTCGTATAAGAGAATTAGGAACGGATTGAATGACTACCAAGCAGATGATGTCGATGACCTGTCTATTGAATCAGAATTCTTTTCTTCATATGAAACAGATGATTATTAATCTGTATATATATATATTTTATGTTTGTATTTTGTATTATTAGTAAACGAATCTATCGGATTTAATCTTTTTACGGGTTTGATTATATTTTAAAAAAATATCCGATATTTACAAAAAATAATAATAATTTTAAAAATTTCGGACTTGTTTTATTGATAATTATTATGTATGACTTGTTCGTAAATGATTCTTATTATATTTTCAAGCACTCTTAAAATTTTGAAATAAGTAGTAGTATATGACGGGTTGTGTGACTTTTTTTGTTACATCTATATATAGACGATGCATTAAAATATATTTATTTATAAACCATTAAAAAATTAACATTAATTTTAAAATAATTTATTTTTTTATCTTTTATAAAAGAAGCTATATATAGATGATGTCAGATATTCCGCGATTAATTAAACATTGTTTAAATTCTGAATGGAATCAATGGAGTCATAATCAAAGACCTCATAAACGAGTAAAAGAAATTAGAAATAAACTTCTTACGAAAAATTAAAACTTAGTTATGTTTATTATTTTATTTTTTTATTTTGTATGAAATGAGCGTCAAAACTAACAACGTTAAAAAATTAGGATTCACAAACGAGGAAATAAAGGATATATTAGAGGAGGTGGGTTATGAAGTTGATAAATATTATTTAAGAAATTGTAAAAAATTTGCCGAGTTATTAAATGATTTAGATTATGATGGAAAAATGAATAAAGATGATGTTATAAATTTCTTATATCCCACATCTGAAGAAGAAAAACCTAAAGAACCTGATGTTTTCCCTGAATATTATGAAGAACGGATTAAAGATGATGAATACAATGAAATTGAAAGACTGAAAAAAATAAGAGATGAAATAGATGAAAAAATTAAGGAATTATAGAGAAGTTGAAAAAATATAATGAAAATGAAGTAGAGGGTTTAATGAATATCCCAGCTTCAGAATCAGAAGTTCAGAAATCTCATGAAAAAAGATATAAAAATTATGTCTCAGAAAACACAAATTTATTAGATGGTGAAATAGACGAAACACTTTCAGAAGAAGGTACTAAATTTATTCGTAAACATAAGTTACAATTTATTGATAATGAAGAAATACCCCTGTATCCTACTTTCACCACCTTTAGATTCCGAAAAATTCAAAAAAGCTCTTAAAAAACGTGACATATGCAACTAATACGATTAAGAAAAGAAGATCATGATATTTACACAAATTATTATTTAAATAAATGCACAGGTGTTGATAAAGTTTTTGATTTATTAGATAAAATATCAAAGAAACCATTGGAACCTATAAATTTTGTGTGATTGTGGTTCATTATTGAAGATACCAATAATGTTTCATATGAAAGAACAGCACGAAGGAAGACGAAGTGGAAAGGTCTATACCATTCGTTATTAAGAATTAAAAGATATGAAAACGTATAAGCATTATATTTATTCATTATTTCAGAAAAAATGGAAGCAACCCATAAACATCTTCTCATCATTTTATAGCTATTCATACATTCCTTTTCAAAGTTGTGAAATTAAATAAGACAGGAATTAGATTTAATGTATCGGGTACGCATTCTTGAGTAAATTAAAATGTATTCGTCACGTCGCGGATGATAAAAATTTATGTGTTCTTAATTCATTTTATGGGCTTTAAAAAATAAACTTTATTTTTATTTATTTTTTAATTTTTTATTCTACATAAATGAACAAAAACGGAACAGCTAAAATGATGATAATCAAATTAGAGCAGAAGGTAGAAGGTTATTTAAACGCTTCTATAACATTCCTGATGGTGCTAATCCTAAAACTCGTAGAAGCTATTTAAATGAAGCAATAGATTGCATATGAAGGGTTTGACATTTCATCAGAAGTGAGAGATTAGCGAGAATGTTAAATGTTAATATTGATTTCTATTATTGTGATCCTCAACCAGAAGACGTGGACATAAATAAGGTAGACTTTCCATTAGTGGAATCAATAATGATAGATCCAGAATTTGAAACAGTAAATATTTTATTAACACAGAGTCCATGTGGAAAACTTCACGCTGACAGAATAACAGACGTTGAAGCACTCACCGGCTATAAAGTTTGTCCATATTGTAAAGAAGAAGTTTATTCTATCCGTGATGATCCAGAAAGGAAAAACCAAAGAAGATTTTTTAAAGCATTGTGAGAAATGTAAAGAAAATAATGGAAGATTAATTCAAGACGTTCAGTTGCAAAAGACACAGCAACCATATGCACCACATATTACGAAACAGAAGATATATCAGTGGTTATTAGCTCACAATTTGCAGGAATATTATAAACCGACAAGATATTATATTACTTTTGACTTTGAAACATTAGAGACTAAAGAAGAATTACAACTTTCTGAGTGTGCAACTTTGAACGCTTACTTAAAACCATTCATGGTATCATCAACGGTTAAATTAAACGATAAAACATATACGAGGAATTTTTGCTTAACTTCGAGTGATTCTTTTATTTCTGATTGGATTGAGTTTTTATTTTCAACCTGTTCATTAGTTGCTAAATCAAATATGAGTCAATACAATGAATTATTGAAGTCGCAAACGGCGGGGACTTTGTCCCATACATTAAATGAAAAACAGAAGGAAGCATTTAAAGAACTTCTAGATGAGGAATTCAATAAAGTGAATATCATAGGTTTTAATTCGGGAAAGTTTGATTTAAATTTAATTCTTCGTGATTTAAACACTGCAAAATGGAAAATAAAATCAATGCTGGGTTCATCTTCACAATTTAAGCAAATCATTGTAAAGAAAACAAACGTTCCATATGAATTGAGATTTATTGACATCAGAAATTATATAGCGGGTGGGACATTAGACCAATTCACTCAAGATTTCGGAAACAATAAATCACGTGTTAAATCCTTTTTCCCTTATCAATTCATCACATGGGAAAATTACGAAGAAGAATTATATAAAGAGGAACCATTCACGAAAGATTCATTTTATTCAGCATTAACCCAAGAAACTATATCAGATAGTGATTATCAAATATATCTCAATGATGCTAAAAATTTTAAGAATAGATTAGAATATTTTATTCATTATTGCAATAAAGATGTTGAAATTATGATTAACCCAATCGATAAAATTATTGAAGAAACATTTGTTTATAAAATTGACACGCTTCATAATCTTTCTTTATCATCGAATGCTTCAATGATTCGTTACGCTTTAGCATATAAAGACTTTAATCCTAATGAAAAATATCCTGAGGAAGAGATAGAATCAAGTTTTGAATTAACGAAAAAGTATTGGAAATATAAAATTGATTCATATAAGAAACAAGATGAAAAAGCAGAAAGGGATACTAAAAATAATGTTTCAATGGATGATTTTCAATACTATCACGATTTAATCCTTTCATCTAAATGCAAAATGTGTGGTAAAGCGTTTACATATGCAAATAAACCAACATTGGATAGAATCGATAATGAAAAACCACATACCAAAGAAAATTGTCAGTTAATGTGTTGTTATTGCAATGTCGTAAAATCAAATAAAGATGAAGATGTTCAACGTTTAAGAATCAATTTAAGAAATTATGCATTAAAAAATAATTTACCAATGACTTTAGATTCAGTTGAAGCTTATCACATTCTCCGTAATGGAATTACTGATGGTTTATCAAATGTTCAACATAGAGTAAATCTTAAAGGAATCACGCACATTAATAAACTTGCATATAATCCAGAAACTAAAACTGTATCAAATGAGGACACCACCAACATTATGACTCATTTCGTTGGTGTTGATTTTAATTCATTATATCCTTCATCATTTTCATCTAATCCTCATGATTTCATTCAATATACGACCATAAAATGTATATGCCGGGAAGATTGAATGGTGTTATCATTTGTGATACAGCAACAAAGAAAGCAAAAGCACTGGGAATAATTAAGAAGAAAAATACTTTATTCGTGGCCGAAGTAAAGGGTCACATTGATGAAAAATACATTAATGATTACATAAACTTTTTACCGATAATAAGAAACTTAGATATTATCACAGATGAAAAAACAATTGGCAGTTTTATGTATAATTACATGAAATCAAACAATCTACCGGTTGACCAGAAACAGAGGAAATTAACTCAGTTAGCATCAACATACAACCAATATCAACCATTTTCTTCTTATTATCTTTGGTATCTAATAGACAGATTTCATTTTATCATCGATGATATTCAATCAATTTTAACATTTACTAAAAACACTTGCTTTAATGAATTTGCGAACGAATTTATGAACGAAAGACAAAAGGCTGAATTAGAAGGAAATAAAGGAAAAAGTTTATTTTGCAAGATTTCGCTTAATGGATCATATGGTTACGATGCAATGAATACACAAAATTACACAAAGACTAAAATAATGAATGCACAGAAGGCACGCGTTGCATGTATGTCAAATAAGTTTAAAAACATAAGAGAAATAGGTGAAGATACGTATCAATGATGCTCAAAGATAGATTTTATAGATGTGAACATGTTTACAAGAGGCATTCTTTACTTTAGATAATGCTAAATACTGGTATTTGGTTTTCATTTATGATTTTATGTATAAATGCATGAATGTTAATCGTTTTCATTTCATTGAAGGTGATACTGATTCATCTTATTGGGCAATCGCTGGCGATCCAAATCTTCCTAACACTCAAGCATTTCAAGCAATTGTAACCGATAAACAATTTTATGATAAAAACATTTTCAAATTCGCACCATTTGATTTCTTCTGTTTTGATGAGAAATTTAAACCTAAATTAAAGAATAAAGTTGAAGAAAAAGCACATGAGAAGAAATTATTGGGTTTAGCAATTGAGAAACAAGGTGATAACATGGTTGCTTTATGCCCTAAGTGTTATACATCATTCAACGGTTCAATTGATGGAAGTGATTTTAAAAAGATTGCACAAAAAATGAAAGGTGTTAGTTTACGACAAAATAAACAATTAACACCTAAAAATTAT